GTTACATGTTATGTATTGTGATATATTGTTGAGACATAGCGATTTAATTGATGAATATTCGAGTGTAGTGAAATGACAAACTACGAATGGCTTGATCCCTAATGAGGGTACGTAGGCAGTCTAACGAGGAGGTTAGATGTAGCCATAAAGTATACGAAAAACTACTATGCGATTCGATTCTTGAGTTGTGCTTTGTACCATATCCTAGAGACGGGGTATGTTAGATATACGGGTATTGGTGTCGTCACGTGTCGATCCTGGATGTATGTTGGGATCGGAGCGTGACAGTCTGAGACTCAGACTTTGAGTCTGTGAGATGAATGAAAACTTCCAATCAACAATGGAGAGTGTATGACTTGATAATCATAAAATCCCAACCAATTACCTCAAGTTAGAAACCGGCTGGGCCGGGGGCCTGTGCCCTTTTATTTTTAGATCCGCCTCGCCTCGTTTTGTGTTTTGAAATTTTGGACCCACCTCGTACCCGCCCTGAACTGCGAGTACCCGACCTTACCCGCGGGTACATGACCTGTTTGCCCACCCCTAACTGAATATTTGTTCTAGGCGACGATCGTTCGTGATGCCTCGACATTCGTTCTAGGGAGTTGTAGCGCGGACCTCAGGTGAGTGGGTCTTTTTCCTTTTTATAGTGTGTGTGTGTGTGTGTAAACTTTATGGTTTCCATAAATGTTTTTATATGGAACTATGCTTTGCTTGCCATGTCGTAAATAAGTTACATTTTAAATATTGCATTGTTACACTTGTGAATTGTATTGTGTGATGCTGCGGAGACTCAGGTGAGTATTATGTGATTGAAATGGTTGAATTATATGAGCATGCATATATTCATTAGAGCTCATCATGGTTGCACCCTGGTATTAGTGCTCCCACCCGGGGCTAAGGCTAACCTTCACATGATTGTTCACCTCCCACACCGAACGCTCACCTTGGATCCAAGTCTAGTGCTAGCCTGTTGTACAGACCACAATAGGTGGTTCCAACTCGTAAGTGACCCGCGATTTATCGCACAGCTTTCACGTGATCGTAGCACTTGAACGTACATATTTATACCCAGCCTGTCGTATAGGTCACACTAGGTGACTCCAACTCATGTGCTAGCCTAGGTTGATGAGTTACAGGTCCAGTTGTACAAGTCACATTAAGTGACTCCGATTGGCATACTATTTTATATTGGTTTCACACCTGGCTTACATTTATTTTGCTGAGATATTGTGACATGGCATGCTTTTGTTGTCACTACTTTTATGCATTGGTTTTTCATACTTACATAGTATGATTTTCTGAAAACTATACAGGTTTTACGGCGAGGGGTTATAACGTTTTCAAAAGGTTTTTATTAAAACTTTATTTTCAAGCCCACTCACCTTTGTTTTTCGCCCTTCCAGGTGTTAGTAGCAGAGTTTTCGTACTGACGATGATTATTGGCAAATCTTGGTGTAGGCAATTATCATTGATGGTATAATTCTCACCTTATTTTACTGTACTATATTGTACTTATGCTCTGTCATCACGTGTGAATTGGGTTCATTCCCGCTCACATCGCACTCTTGTATTTAGGCACTTTTAGGTTTAAATTTATTCACATTTTCCACATCACTACACTTTATGGCTTGGTCACCTTCCTGATATCAGCCAGCATAGCTCGATTCAGAGTCCTAGTTGACATTCCGGGTTGGGGTGTGTTACTCTGTCTTTGCAGTCGAATTGAATGATTGCATTTATATATACTTCATTCAAGGTATTAAATATCGATGATATCGGAAATATCGGTAATCCAAAAACACGGAAATTTCGATGGAAATATCGGGATATTATCGATATCGATAAAATTGAATAAAAACCACGGAAATTGTAAGAAAAACTTGGAAATTTTTATTGAAACTTTGCAGAATGTTTATTTAGTCAATTATCTATTAGTTTATCACAAAAAATTGGAAGGAAATGCATTGCATGATAGATATAACTGATTTAAGTTGATTATATAGCGAGCTGGCAAACATTGTGAGTGTAGAATATATGTAGTAATTAATGAAAGAAGTTTAAACACATCATAATCATTTATATATAATGAATTAGTACTATATTTTACACTTTATACATTACATAGTAAGATACATGAGTGACTTAGTAAGGTCTAAAATATCGATGATATAGGAAATATTGGTAGTCCAAAAAAATATCGGTAGTCTAAAAACACGGAAATTTCGATGAAAATATCGGGATATTATGGATATTTTAGACCATGACTTCATTCAATTCGGACTTAGGGTCTGTTTCACTTATATATACTTCATTCAATTCGGACTTAGGGTCTGTTTCATACAATTTTTAATATACTTAAAACATAATCTTTCATACAATTTGTAATATTGTGTTTAAAGATGTGTTACAAAATTTAGAATAATTTTTTATTATCATTAATACATATTTACCAATTTATATATTTATCATGGTTATATATTTGATCGCCTTCTTTTGTTAAATACTTTGTTGCTCCTACATTAATATTCTTACCTGCTTTTGTCCATATACCATATACAGGTTAGCTTCATTGGAATTACTTTTTTTAGTTTCCTTGCATAACAAAAAAAAAAATGCTAGAATAGGTATGGTCTATATCTCCAATCACAATGCAACGACTTAATGGTATGTTTTTTTAACTTTCATTTCTTGTTGACTTCCTTTTAAATTCAATATTTACTGATCTTTCTCTTTAGGGGAATTGGTTGCTACCGATATATATACAAACTGTCTTCTTTTTACCTAATATGAATACATGTGGCTTATTCCTTGTTTGACCATTGATAAGTTAGGTTGGATATATGTATAAAGTATATCTTCAATCAAAGTATCTGCATTTATACTTGTATATGTCCAGCTTAAACTTCTCATTGGACGAGAAACCAATTTACCACGTGTTTACAATAGGTCAAAAGAATAAAGTAATTGGGTATAAATTGGTGGCACCAATTCCTCTAAAGAGAAAAGATGTAAGTGATGATTGAGCTGAAATAAGTCAACAAACAGTCTCTCTATATTGCAAAGAAACACTCTAGATATATCTAATCCATCTTTTTACACATATCATTTCACTTTTCAATCTGTTTGATTGAATTCTACCATTTACACCAAAATACCTAAATATTGACATCAAATTTTGAAGTCAAAAATCTAAGAACATTACTATATTTTCAGTTTGATTCAATAACACAATCTATTACCTTTCTTTTAAATTACTTAGATTTTAACATATTTCACTTTCTTTACAATCAACCAATACTTTTTCTTACGTCACCAAACAGTTATAGCTTACTATATCCATTTTCTATTTGTGTTGTTTCTCTCATGCTCTATCACAATATACAGTAACTTTAATAAATTGGCCAAATTGGATTATTCATCCCCGTGGTCATAGGAAACTTGCATGATGACCCCCGTAGTGAAAAAACTAGGAATTAAACCCCTGTGGTCAAGAATGTTAGGAAATTTAGTCCAAAAGTAAGATTTCTGTTAAATGACTGTTAAAAGTATAGGTAAAACTGTATTTTCAGTCCAATTGACATTTAAAATAAATAATTTTTTTATAACAATTAACAAAAAAAATAATGCTTAATTTTTTAAATAAAAAAAGCCCCAATTCAATGTCAATTGGAACTGAAAATACAGTTTTACCCCAACTTTTAACAGTCCTTTAACAGAAATCTTAGTTTTGGACTAAATTTGCTAACATTCTAGACCACAGGGGTTTAATTCTTAGTTTTTTCACCACGGAGGTCATCATGCAAGTGTCCTATGACCACAGGGATGAACAATCCAATTTAGCCTAATAAATTTAATCTTTCAACATAAATGATCTTACAAAACTCACTGATGTATTAATCTAATTTTTAAGTTTTCAGTCTTTTTAATGGATAGTATGCTATTTGGGCAGCTTTGATCTTTGATTTCATATATGTGATTTTGTCTAATTCTTTCTCATCCCCGATTTCTATTGTCATTCATGGTTTAATAGAGATTCTTGAATGACGTTCTTTAAATATCTTTATATATTATGCTCACACATTTTGTAATCCCACATCAACGCACATGCACTATTTCTATACTAACTATTTGACCGCATGTGTGATAGTTGCATTATTGTCAGGTTTTGAAGTGTTAATTATAATATTTTCAAAAAAAAAAACTCTATGGATGTGATCGTTCATTATATGCCGATACAAAGTGATGATTATTGATCTTGATGCACATCAAGCGAACAATCGATTTCCCAATAAAAGTAAGGTACTTCTCAGTCCTAATAGGGATTGAATATTTAACTTGACCCTCTTCTAGAATTTGAATAACTGTTGTCCATGAACAGGTCGAGTCTATATACTAGATATGTACGACCCTCGAATATATCCAATTTTGAGTTTCCTGCTCTTCTAATATTCTAAGATCCAAGATTTTTCCACCAAAGTTACCACATGTACTGCTATAAGGCTGCGTTTGTTGCACCGAACTGTCTCGGACTGGACTAGCTTCATGGACTAAGCTGGACTGACTTAGACTAGACTAAGCTGGACTAACTTAGTGAAGCATTTGATGCAGTGTCGGACTAAGAAGCAGGATAATGAAAACAATACTGTCACCAGAAGATTGGGACTAAAAACATAACAAAATCTGGTGAGCAATCGGCAGAAGATTGGGACTAAAAACATAACAAAATCTGGTTCAAAGCACTACTACTGTGATTTTATCTAACGCTACCATAACAGTAGCAGCTCTTGAAGCTCCATTGTCAAAACCCGAAGAGAGCCACAGCCAGAAGCACTCGGTGACCGAGCGAATTGACAAACCCTTACCTTAGAAAGCAAGCAGCCGCGACCACCGGTCTGCAAGCATCTCTAGTCCTCGCTGACATAGCGAATTCAAAAATAAGCGAAGAATAAACATTGTATAACTAGAGCAGACATTCGGTAGGGATTCAGATAAACTTGATACATATTAAAGACGTCTTAGTTGCATTCAAATTATTTGCCCAATAGCAGAACAGTTTTACACGTTCTCCTTCATCTAATATATAAGCACATAACAAATTTAAACAGTAGGGCATTAACAAAGATCGACTCCATGCTACGGAACTTAAATCCACTAGGATAAATCATGAACAAAATTAACACGATCATAGGTCAAACAATACATCAGTCGTGCAGTGTTCCCAGTATATCCTCATCTCGATATAGATGGTACCTAAAACAGCAAAAAAATAATAATTAATGAGCATCTAATCGGACAAAGGAAGTGAATGGTATAGACCAAAGCTTCCAGTCGCCAAAGCTCGAGTGAAAAGTTTCAAGTCGCCAAAGCTTGATGAATGGTATAGACCACCTATCATAGAATGAGATTACTTTACACTGGTGAGGGTAGCATCTGGAAGTGAAAATGATAACCAAAATGTTGCAAATATGCAAGAGCACATATTTTCTATTTCTACAGAAAATTTATCAACATTATTAGTTCATTCCACCATTTAATTTCCATAACTTTCTGTGCAACTAAACAAAAAATAAACATGGCAGAAAAAACATATAGATTAAGAAGCAAACTTACTCGAATTGATAGGCATAATCGACGAGGTCGATGTTGGGAATAACAACAGGGCGTCTCGAAGGACATGCACGGAACGATTTTCTCAGAGGAAGACGATTGTTCTCTGCAGGATCAAACATTCTCCTAAAACAATATGACTGATTTGTAGATCAAATTAAAACCCAGAAATCAATCAAAACCCAGAAATCCTAGAAATAAATCAGAATGCAGAAATCCCAGAAGTAAATCAAAACCCATAATCGATTAAACCCACTAATAATTTCACGAATCTTCAAAACAAAATCGAAGAAAATGAAGAAGATGAAGTGGAAGATGAAGCTCTGAGAGACTTATGAGGATGCGGCGTTGGTCGAGGAATGGTCCGACAATGCTATGGAGCAAAGCGGGACGACGAGAGAGATGACAGTCTTACTAGTCTGCTGGAATTCGAGGGGTCTTGCTAAGACGATCTAGCGAGCCCCTTAGTCGAGGCGAGTGAAGGGTAATCCCACTAAGCTAGTCCGCTTGTGTAATAAAAATAGGACTACCCTAATTTATAATCTAGTCTAGTCCAATGAAACCTAGTGAAGGTAAACAAACACACCCTAAAGGTCTATGAGAGCAGGACTCTAGCATAAACAAAGTGTTTAAATCCACCTTTACTTAATCCTCTCTAGGATTATCAAGCAAGGAGATACATTGACCAGAAGGTTCAAGTAGGTGAGCCATTACTACCACACTCACATATCATATATTAGTGGTTAGGTTTGTCATTTAATTTAGATCTTTATTACCTGCTAATAATAAGTCATCAAAATTTTCTCACTTATATATGTTTATGATACGTATAATGAGGTGTAGAATCGTCTGAAAGCTTTTAATTGTATAAAACATTACACTTGGAAGATATAAAAAAATTGCGTTGCAAAGATTAATGTTGTTTCTTGGAAGAATTTTTTTTTTTTTTTTGGTTGTTTGAAAGCACTGAAATTTTAAATTTTAATTTGGAGATTTTCAGTTGTGGAACAGACCCTTTTGAAATTAGGGTTTCATTAACACTCATTTTTCTTATATGAATTTATATTATCATAAACTCTAATATCTTCCTTTTTTTCGTTGCTTTGCTATTTCAAGACAATTTACATGTACTCTTCTGATAAAAGGTAGAAATGACTCCTTCAACATGGAACATAGAGATGTGATTAGAGTTCCTGCAAAGGCTTCTATTTACTTAATTAACAATAACAATAATGAACCTCTTCACATTGCAAAGCTCATTTGTTCTATTAACAGTTCTCGACGATTTGAGGCAACCAAGATCATCACTTTATTTCATCAATATTAGTTTTGGTAATATATATATATATATATATATGTATATTGTTTGAGTGATTAATTAACTACAAATCCAATTAAATTTTCACACAGAAACTTCAATTTTGTTTTAGTTTTAATATTTGCCGTTTGTAATTTATATCATTGCTTTAATTTCTGCTGAAATTCTTCCCTGCTGGTTTTGGAAATCCCAAGTCATACTTCAACATTTCAGCAATGACATTTTTCAATCTATCTTCAATGTAAATTACAATAATTTTTGTTCTTTGTCCTTTACTTGATTTAATTTGTTCATATAAATTAATTAGGCTCTAATTTACAACTTTTAATTATTTCATCGGACCCCAATAAAAGAGCTAAGAGCAAAACTTTAGACAACAAAAGGGCCAACAAGGGGGTCAAGGCATAATCATGAGCTCCCCAAAAGAACAACTTCAAGCACTGTTTGGCTGATCACCCAACATTGGTACCTCTAATCACTGCACATGTATAGTCTCTTTTTGTATTACCTTCAATTGATGACAAACAGTGGTTTTTTTCTCTGCCACAATTCTTTTTGGTTCCATGATTTCAAGCATCTACAATTCCATCTATGTCATAATTAATTCATTCACGCTTGCGTTCTATAAAATGGAATCCGCGTTATGAAAATGCTTTAATACGCTACTTCTCTATTTCCAATCCTGCTTAAATATTGAAAAATGGCTATTCTTCCATAGTTGACAGTATAGCAGTAAGTCATTTATCTTCATTTCTCATTGACCTTAGTTTTTCTTGATAACATAGTTGACACTTTTTTTAGCCTGTTATTATAATCACTGTTAACAATTACTCTTCGAGAGAGAAATGGATATACCAACTCATGCATTTTCAAGGAGTACTATAACAGCATTATTGCAATTGGATAACAATACTTGCTATAACTTTGGTAAGGAATCAGTTGACAGTGTGGGATTCATGAATTTGCATTTGCATTCTATGATATTAACCAACGAGTGCAAACTTTGATTGATTTGACAGCTAATTTGGGTATCCTGTTTACATTCAACATTTTATAATTATGATAGAAACCTAGATTATTGTATTATATGTTTTATTAGCATTCAACATTTATAATTGTGAACCATCTTTGTCTATTTATCAATTTATTTTTTGGTAAATCTCATATTACTACCCTCAAGTCTTGTCGTTTTCAACATTTAGTACATAAATTTTTTTTCGTCTCGGAGTCATACCTAAGATATTAATTTTGGAACAGTCTCATACATCTGTTAGTCTGGCTGTTAAGTCTCCCGTTAACTGATGATGTGGCGCCCACGTGGACAATGCCTGGGCGCCACCTGTCAATAAAGGTCCCATGTGGATATTAAAAAAAAAAATTTTTAAAAAATTAAACATTAAAAAAAATTACAAAAAAAAAAAAATTGTCTTCTTCCTCTAACCCCCGACCCTCCCTCCCTTCTCTCCCTCTGCACATCCATCTTTCCCACCCCCCCCCCCCGACGACGCCGTCTAACGCCATCGCTTGCACGCCACACCCTCACTCATACTCTGCCACACTTACTACGCCAACCACATATTCCCCCTTGCCGCCGTCGAAGCCCCAAAAAAATCGAAAAGCTCCGCCTCAAAAGGATGGACAAGGGAGGCAGGGCAAGCCAAATGGTAGATCTGGTCGACCTCAAGCATATGGTAAATTCAACCCCGCCCGTCACCAAGGTTCTAAAAAACGTTAGGCACTAATTGGGTGGCGGGCTAGCGCCTAGGCGGATTTAGGTAAATTTCTTATATATCTTGTAAATAAGTGCATATTGACACCTAAAATGGATAATAAAATAATGATAAAATGCAAATTAGGTACACTATTTCCATAAGTATTGGATGAACTTGTAGTAAATCCATCATTTGCAAATTAGATACACCATTTCCATAACTATACCACCATGAAACCAAAAAAGAAAAAAGCATGCAATTAATAAAAATAAATAAACAAAAAAAAACCTCATAGGACCGCCTAGGACCACCTAGGGCCACCTAGGACCGCCTAGCCCGCCTAGGCCCAACCCGATTTCTCCGCTCGATTTGCCCAAACACGCCTCTGTTGCTAGGCGGCCGCCTAGGGCCTTTTTTTATAACACTACCCGTCACGACGATTCGGAACCCTTTTTGTTTCAGCCCCAGTGGCACCTTCCCGCTAGAACCCCAACTATTCAACCCGAATCTGCGTTTGTAGGCCGACTTGTACTGGGTCGTCGTCAACAAATCGAAGTCGTACTGAACATAGTTCGAGATCGGGACATTGCCGGATGCGTAAGGAGAGCAGGGGGAAAATATATGAAAATGTAGAAAAATTATCGATAAGTGGAAAATGCCCCTCGTTGATTAAACGTAATTTTACGAGGACATATTTTATCCTCGTATATTTTATCGTATTTCTTGACATATATGGATGGCGTTCGATCCTACGAGTGTGTAGGCGAAAACCGTTCGTGAAACAGAGTTATAACGAAGAAATTAGAGATGTTTTTGTTATTGGGAAAAAAAGAAATAAATAAAAGAAATGGGGTTTGAAGCTGCTAGGTGGCAGCAACAGAGAGGGGAAATGAGGGATGCGGGAGAGAAAATGAGGAGAGGAGAGGACCAATGGGCAGAGGGAAAAGGGAGAGAAAGGAGGGAGGTGAGGGGAGCACCGGATCCTTTTGGATCCGTGCAACCGAACCGACTTGACCCGGTCTTATCATCTCCGTCTGACCTCCGTTCAAGGTGGTTCAAGTGTATATGGAAAGCTCTCGTCAAGCCCAACGTCACTATGGTGTTAGATTTGTAGATTTCTAACCCAAATTCACAAATCGAAGCCACAAAACCCACGAGTGTCCCGATGGTTTTATCCTTTTTCCGGTGAATCATACAGTGATTACCATCGATGACCACTACCAAAAGACTCCCCTCAACCCTAGGGACAAGGCTCAATCCTTGGATGAGGCGTCGGAGTTCGTTTTGGTGGCGAATCGACAACTACCCAAATCAAGGGTTCCGGCGGTTCAAGGGATTTTCCGGCCACTTCCCGGCCGAATTGGACTTCGGCCCAGGTATGAAAGTTGTTCCTCTCATTGAACCCTACAACCCTGTAAAATTTGGTACTTTTTAGAGTTCGTCGGAATTTGGAGTTTCCATTCGCCGGAAACCACGGGCGGCGACGCGTGGACAGTGAGCCGACGCTGTCTTTCTAAGCTAATTTCGATATTCTGAATCTATATTTGATATGCAATTGGTGTGAATTGCTTGTTTGAACTTAGTGATTGTTAGTCACTTGAATGATTTTGGAAATGAGTTAGAAATTGAATTTGTGAACTACGTAGGCAATCTAACGAGACAGTTAGATGTAGTCATAAGACAACCCAAATTTAATATTGTACTTGGTTTCTTTAAGGAAAGAGATTTATTATGGTTAACAGCGTAGAGATTAACCATGATTTTAATTGACCTATCACCGGATATTAGCTTCCAAAATGAACATATACGCAATATGACAATTTATCTTCATTTCCATTCTTGCATTAAACTTGCAAGTCAGTTTATACTAAATGTTGTTTAATAATTTACAGAAAACGTTTGAATTGATTGTCATACAATGCAGTTGCAAACTTGATGATTTAGAATTAGCTTATCAATCTTCCCATACAGTTTATGATCTCGCAGCAATACACGAGTAGCAATTTCTAGTGTATAAACTAAAGAATGACGTGCCAAATAAGAACCTTTAGATATTGTTGGTGAAGTGAAGTGAAGTGGAACCAAGCAAAAACCAAAGAAAATGGATATATTGGATAAGGGCGGGGGGGGGGCCATCTCCAGCGGCTAAAATATTATACCTATCATCGTTTCCTCCTTTCTTTCTCCTCTTACAAGTATGGCTAGCGCTCCTTTACCTCCTCCGATACCTTCCTCTCTCGCCTCCTCCAAATGCCACTCTTCCTCACGTTCAAAACCGCCGCCACTTGTCTCGCCTTCTCCTCCGAATTCAATTCCATTACTTCCCAGACAAAAACGAAGGGAGTTGCTGCTGAAAACAGGACTTGGTCTGCTTCCTCTGGCTCTGGTTGAATCAATATTGAAAGTGCCTTCCGCAGAAGCTAAGGATGCGGTCGTGGGCTCCTATCTCCCGCCCTCACCTTCCGATTCTTCCTTCGTTGTCTTCAAAGCCACTCCTAAAGACACTCCCGCCCTTCGCGCTGGTACTCTCTTCACTTTTATTTCATGTTTCATTAAAAAAATTTCTTTATCAGTAACACTCGAGTGCTAACCAGTTGGTAACGTACCGAGTCAACTCCGCAATATTTCTCATGATCTGAACGGATGATATTGCGCCTAGTTTTATTTTGCTCAACTACATTTTGATTACTGCTTCATCACCTACCGACCGCGTTTGAATGTGTCTGGCTCCGTTAGCATTATCATGCTTCGAGTAGAATTGCGGATAAATCTTAAAGAATTTCCAAATTCATAATCACAGTTTTCACTGAGTGGAGAGAGCATCCTTCAATTACAGAAGATTTCGTGGTTCAAACTTCTGAGATCTTACACTGTTTGGAGTGCAAAAGTAAGGAGCATTTTGTATAACTTAGGAGAGAACCGGAAAAGTGGCGAAGATAGCAATGTCCGGATGAAAAAGGGGAAGGGAGTATTAGGAGGTATCCCGATAGGTACATGGTGATGTTCGCGTCATATTTTGAGGGCTGGTTTGAGTTGAAGAAAATCGACAGCTCCTTAGGTGAGGTACTTTCTTTTTGTTTACAAATTGAACTACAATGACATATTAACAAGAGTTTTCATAAATCAGGTGAAGTGGTCCAAGAAACATGTACATTCCAAATATGTACAAATTGGTTACACAATGTTGGATGTTCGACCGTTTGTGCATAATCTCTATTTATGCGGAAGCTATTCTCAACCAACGGAAACGGACTCCTTTTGTGAGGATATCAGGATATGTTTTCTAATTTATGTGTCTATAGAAAGTTGGGGCTGAGCAGGGTGGAGTTGTTGCGAAAGGGGAAATTTATGTTAGCGTCCATGATGTAAAAGAGGTAAGGAGAATGTTCAGGAGCAGAAAATCGGCTCTTCCTGCAAAGACATGCTAAATAAAGGAGAAGGGAAAGCCATCGAGTTTCAGAACTGGACTTTCGAACACTCTTAAGAAGAGTGAAGTGCGCTACTTTGGTAAAATGACAGTTTTTGGATATTAATACGGACTGAAAGAAAGCAAAAGGAGTAGAGTTTCTTGAAGCTGGAGTTCAAGTGATGTTTGGTCTGTCCATAGAAAGTTGGTTTTTTGGTAGGTAGTTACTGAGTTCATTTCATTTTTGACCTCCATAGCTTCCCGTGCAGATTTCGGCATTTTGAGTTTGTTATTGGTCGTTGCATTTTATCTGGATGACATTCTATGTTACCTACAAAGACGAAAGAAAATAATAACAGTAATTCCTTAAGTTCATCATGTTTTCGTCAATAACATGTTTTTCGTTATGTATATACTGATGATACTCGAAACTTGGTTCTTTGCAGGAAATGTGGAGCCCTACCAGTTCATCATTCCCCCAACCTGGAAACAGATGCGCGTAGCAAACATTTTATCTGGTAATTACTGCCAACCAAAATGTGCAGAGCCGTGGGTGGAGGTAAAATTTGAAGACGAAAAACAGGGAAAACTTCAGGTTGTGGCTTCACCTTTGATACGCCTGACCAATAAACCGAACGCAACAATTGAAGACATTGGAAACCCTGAGAAGGTAATTGCTTCTCTTGGCCCTTTCGTCACTGGAAACACATACGATCCAGATGAGCTCCTTGAGACTACAGTTGAGAAGCGTGGTGATTTGACGGTATACAATCTCTCTTGAAGTAAACTACTTGAAAAAGTTTTTTCCTTTTATCTACCTTCGTTCACAAGAAAGTCAATCTCAACATGAATTCAATCTTTCCTTTCGTATGCAGTACTACAAGTATGCGCTCGAGACCCCGTTTGCTCTCACAGGTTCTCACAATCTTGCAGTGGCAACAGCAAAGGGTAACACTGTTGTATTATTTGTGGTAAGTGCAAGTGAGAAACAATGGCAAGCATCTCAGAAGACGCTAAAAGCCATGCTCGATTCCTTTCAAGTGTAGTTCATTCACTGCTAAATGAAATCGAAAAGAAACTTGTTTTGGCATGGAGAGAAAAATTGTAGAGTTCATATCGGGTCTGTTTATTAATTCAGAAATGATCAAATGTTCCTTTCGAAAAAATAAAATTGCAACCCTTCTCCTTCGATATTCAATGCCCTGTAACTTGCAGATGCATAGAACGTAGAAGGATTTGGTATAATTATACATTTATGGTAAGGGAATTTATCTTATTTTGTAAGCTTGTCCGTAACCAAGGAAATGATGAGCTTGTCCCTTGGGCGGGCAAATGTTAGTGACCCAACGCCTAGAGGCCTAGGCGGTTTTTTTTTTTTTTTTTTTTTTTTTTGAGGACATTGATATTTTTACATCAAGAAAGAGAATACCACCAGACTATAGTACTGAGTGACAGCGTTTTCTTTATTTTAATTAAATTTTTATATAATATATAAATAAGTGTGTACTTGCACTTAAAAGAAATATATAATTGTAAAATAGAATTATATATCAATTATAAAGTACTATACCATATTGAAAACATTGGAATGCATAAAATGAGAGTTTATCCAAGCTAACAAGTTTCTCACAATTTATTGAAACATAAAATGCAAACTAAAAGTTATTTATTTAATGTTTAAGAGAGAGTCGCGACCCTAAGCCATTTTCTTTATAAAAAAATTAAAAAAAAAAAAAAAACCACAAAACCACCTAACCCACCTAGACCCCTTAGTCATCTTATGTCCACCTAGGTGGCTAGGCACCTTCTGTCTTTTAAATGTCTAGGGATTAGAGCCATGTGCCCATCTCTTCTCTCCCAAACCCTAATTCTGCAAGCCTCCTAGGAGAGAAGAGATGGGCTCAGGGCTCTAATCTCTAGGGATTAGAGTCATGTGCCCATCTCTTAGGAATAGTTAGACGGAAAAAAGGGGAAGAAAAGAAACTGAGGGAGGGAGAGAGGGGAAGATGGTCGGAGAGGAAGGAGGGCTAGGATGCAAATGGGGGAAGGGTTAAGAGGAAAAAAGGGGAAGGGGGAAGATGGTCGGAGAAAAATGATGCAAAAAGGGAGAAGGACTAGGAGACACGAAAGGGTGGAAGGCAGGCAATCCCATCTATTCCCTATTTTTCAATTAAAAACATACATTGTAAGGTTAATATTAGGGATATTTGGCTTAAAATTTGTTCAAATAAGTTTTTAATACTTTTAAGTGACTAAGGGTTTTTTTTTTTTTTTTTTTTTTCTAAAGTCTGCCCATTTAATGACTCGGCTCAAGCTTTGGCATGTCTTAATGGGCTAGGGCCACGGCCTGGGCCAGGCTTACTATTTTATTAAGTGGGTCAGCCTAAGCACGATTTGTTTGTTAAGTGGACTAGCCCAAGCACGACCTAAGTCTACATGGGTTGAATTAAAATGGGCTGGGCCGGCCAGGTTGGCCCGTTTAACACCTCTCGTCAACAAGAGAGAATCTCTTTGATCTTCTTACCCAAAAAAAGTCTTTAGAAAAAGAACTCACTTTGCTAGTCCATCGTAAAGTTAAACACACCCTATCCTCTTAGTGTAGATAATATTGTTTGTTAAATAAATAAAAGAAGAAGAACAATCACTAACAAATGATGCATTTTTTTTAACACATGACAAATATCTATTGAACGGCAACACAACTGAAACCATATCTTAGTTGCAAGAGAAATCACTTCTTACTTATACCAGCACTCAAATTGAACCAAAAAAAGTTTGAGAAAAAAAACCAAAAAGAAACATCTGGTTTCTATAACTCCAATTGAAGCAGATGGAGGAAAGTCAAGCTTACTCTGTTCCTCAAACTAGAGGAATCGCCATCCTCCAAAAACAACGTCATTGTAGCCAGGCTTTGCAACGCTGGTTTCGCCATCCTCCCTGATTTCTCCATCCGCGACACAACTTGGCTCACTGATTTCTCAGGAAAAAAACATCAATCCAACTTCTCTGCTATCAATTTTCTTCTCGTTTCTTTGATTATTGTCCAGGTGAACAATCTGAGAAAGAGCCCTTCACATTGCTCTTAACAAAACGAGACAAGCTAAATCCAAGAGAGAGGCACAAAGCACGTCGGAAAGGAGGGCACAGTATCATAAAGTGAAATATAAACCCAATTATAATTACTCAAGACTGCCACAAGGAAAAGGAGGGAAAGTTCCATTTCAATAACGTCGTTGGTCTCGCTCTTTAGGTTTTAGAATACAAAACACGATGTTACAACAACAACAACGTGCATGAGGCCATTGGGGAAAAAGTGAAACCCAACACTGAAAGATGTCGCCTCCTACATTATTGTCTAAGTTGCTGAGAAAAAGCTGTAGGTTACGAGGTTACAGCGCTGCAATGCACTCAATTTCAATCTTGGCATCCAGTGGCAGTGCCGCTACCTGAAATGTTGAACGCGCTGGGGCTGGAGATGGAAAATCTGCAACACAAAACCATACAAGTCAAGTTAAATGAACAAGTAAATGGTTGCCAAAATTAAGCAGAGGCAGATCTGTTTCTACAAGGTAATTTGAGCGTAAGAATGTGGCGAATGAAATTAGCTCAAGTAAACCAAAAATTAAAGAGTTAAAGTCAACTTCATTCTACATCCTATCAATACCTCGATACGCTTATGGCTTACAGTTTTAGGCAGATAGAAAACCCACAGTTTAATTAAGAATTAAATCTCCAATAGCAAATTTTATCTCTAGATAACTCACATTTAGCATAGATTTCATTGACTTTCTTGAAGTCTTTCAAATCAGCCAACCTGCATGGACATAAGAGACAACTTATTTCATCTCCAACACTTAGGTCTCTAATCAAGGTTGTGCAAAGAAAAAACAAATCCATACAGTATAGTCGTTTTAACCACAGAGGAATAGCTGGCCCCGCTTGCTTTCAGTATTTCCCCCATATTTTTTAGAACCTGCATTAGTTTTGTAAACCCAAATCCATCAAACGCAGTCACACAGCAATGCTATGAACTATACTCTTTTGTTAAGACGATAAAGCTTAAAAACAGCAATTGCGTTAACAAATTTAACTTCTCCTCGATGAAGGTTTGCAAGGTTACTATAATTTAAGACGTTTAGTGTTGGCAATTACTAAATAGAGACTCGGACTAGATATATTAAAGAGATATATAATTATAAGGTATATAGCAATAACCGGCATTTAGTTATCTCTTTATGACTTGGCTTAGTGCCATCATCATTTTGCAGAAATGCGAAATTCTCGACAGTTTAAGATCCTGCAACCACTAAATTCTCAAACAGCATACAAATTTCCATCAACTGTCACTTCTAAATCGCCATGAAGTTATTGGTTTAGAAGGTTTTCACCAACCAAATGCGTAAAAATAAAAGCACAAAATCAATGAACATATGATTATCTCAAATCCTAACCAACACATGAGAGCATCAACAATACCTGCTCTGTCTGATCTTCAACATCATCGGATACGAACTTTCCGGTCTGCAAATAAACACACAACATAAGTTCATAATATCATCGAGTTCATACCAACATTGATGGATGACAATGACAAAAAAAGGACGAAAATCAAAGACACAAACCTCTGGAATCAGACCAAGACAACCCGACACATAGACAAAGTTGTTGGCTTTGATTGCCTGAGAATACGGTCCCAATGCAGCGGGAGCCTTTTCTGTGTGGACAGCTTCCTTAATTCCTAAATCCAACCAAATAAAAGCTGCCCATGTTAATTTCAAACGAAAAGTTCAACACTTTATCCACAACTGATCAAAAGGAGATTCAAATTATACAACCAATAAGAGGAATCGAATTTCTAATCCATGTAACCAAAAAGGGTGCACGAGAAATCCAATTAAATTAAAACAAAATGAGAAATTAAAAGAGTTGGAAGTTACGAGCGTCGGTGGAAATGGCTAAGCAAGCGAAGCGAGAGGAGGGCTTCGATGAAGCCAAGGATCGCCAGAAAGTGGAGCCAGCGACCGAGGCAAAGCCCGCGCCGGCGGCTAACGGAGCTCGGGTGCGCAATGCCCCCATGTCAACCGCCGGCATGTGGAAGGTCCTTGCCGCACACCACGCCATCTCTCTCTCTCTCTCTGGGAGTCTCTGTTGGTCTCTGTTCGACTTGTGCGACTGCTGAAGTGCTGCTGTACTGATGGTTGGTGAACGGCGACTGGCGACTGAGTCACTCACTCGCTTTTAATATGTTCATTTTTTTTTTTTTTTTTTGTCTGCTCAGATTTTTTTCCTCTTTGGGCTTTACTTCATTTTTGTTATGGGGCTTTTTTTTTGGGCCACTTTGATTAAGCTCTAACCATGCTATCTTCAACACAAAAATTCTACAAATTTTAATTCTGATACTTTGTATACGATTCTTAGTTCCTAACATTTTTTTACTAAAATTTTAATGACATTCAAAGTTTGATCAAAGTCCCTTGTTATGTTACTTTCAGGGCACTAAACTTTAATGACTTTGTACACCTCATTATATTACTATTAATGTTTATATTTCTATGGTTTTGACATGTTATATATCTTATGAAATTTATAATCTTATAAATTTAAAATCTCTTAAATAATATTATTAGAAACTGTTATAATAAAAAAAAATTCAAACTTTTTGATTGATTAAATGGATAAAAACTATGTAACAATATGAAATAATAAATGGCAAAAGAATGTGTTTGTCAAAAAATTGGTACATTTTACGTATAACAAAGTGGTAGATTAATAAAGAAGAATGAGACATTATAAATAAATTAGGGTACAAATAGAAGATTAAAAAGTTATGAGTACAAATGAAATTTTAAAAAATATGGGCACAAAAAGAAATTAATACATGAGTACAAATTAAAACTAAAAAGAAAATAGTACAAATTTGAAAAAAAAAAAAAAAAAAAGGTTGCAAATTAAAAGTGGGTACAAACTAAAAATATAAATATATGATACAAAGTTTAGCCATAAAATATAAATATACCATATATAAAAAATTTTCACACTAAATGATTATTATAGAAATTTAATGTAATTATGTTGTATATTGAAATAATGATATTCATTAAAACCTAAGGACCTTGACAAAAAATTACAAAGAAATAAGGTTTTAATCAATGGAATAAAAAAAAAAAAGAGATGAGAACCTAATTTCTCCCCTTAATTATAAACTCACTTTTTGCCTCCTTCTACACACTCATGCTTAATTTATTTTGTTATTTTCATTGATGTATTTAATCAGATGATCGGAAATAAAGACAAATATGTGAGGTTAAAAAATGTGTGAAAATCAGCTCCCTTTTTCAATATGTAATGCACATTAGATGGCGGGGTAATATAGATTGTCATATATGATTGGCTAGTGTTATTTACACACCATTTTTTCCTCTCACATACTCTTGTTAATTTTTGTTCATTGATCTTCTTCAATTCATTCGTTTCGAGTTCCGACGATCAAAATTGAGAGGGTGTGTTAGAAGTAAAAATAAGTGTATGGATAGCGTCACTAGTATGATTTGATTCTTCTAAAAAATTTGGATTCAGCGGTCTAGTTTGCATGCATAATAGTAAAGCTCCGCGAAGGAGTTGCAGATCTTTTCGTTAATGTGCTTTTTACCAATTTGTTTAAATCCAAATAAGCTTGAGTAAAACGTTTTTCAATAATTTAGTACCCGATCATTGGTATTCCTTTCTTAATTTCTTTGTCGAAAAAGTAGTATGGGATTTACGAAAATTCTACTCTCCGTTCTATACATCGAATTTTGCCCCCATTAGATTTTGGTAATTGAACGCTTAATTAAAGTTCTAATTGTTAAATGTTATAGTATAAATTTGAATTTAAAGAGATATTGATAATTTAATAGTGTGTTTAATAGAAACGAAAATGATTCATGCATGGATGTTAATAAAGAAGTATTTTTCCTCAAACAAAAAGAGTACAAAACTATGGATCCAGATCCTCTCCGGATCTAAGGATCTGAGCCTAGGGATTAATTGATCCGATCTGTTGAAATTTGATCCAACGACTACAATTATTATAATTTTTTGTGGAATCTTCTGTTTGTAACCGTTCGATAAAATTTCAACGGGCCGGATCAATTGATCCCTAGGCTCAGGATTCTTAGATCCCAAGAGGATCTGGATCCCAAAACTATGTACAAGATTCTTGCACTTTACGAAAGTACTACATCTTTTTGCAATAGTTACAGAGAATTCAACGACTAATAGAACACCTTGGAGGCTTGGACCATACTAGCAATCCCTAAAATCTACTACGTTTTTGTTTTCAAAAAAAAAAGGGAAGACGCGTGTCGCTTTCACCACAGCAGTCCATCATGTCAGGAGTCAGGAAGACTCATAGAAGTATTTTAGCTTTTTCCTGGCCACCATCGTGTGATTCAACAGCATCATGAATCGAACTCAAAACGTACCATGTAGAATACATGGCTGAAATTCGTCCACAACCATCGAACACTCGTGGTAGTTATCTACTACGTTTTAAATGTGTACTTGTAGTCTGCACATAGGACAAGAGGCTTGTCGCTTTAGCCATTGGTCTATGCATCCCACGTGAAACATATGGCCACAAATGGGAAGTTCTCTTGCATTTTCTCCGTCCTTCAATTCCTGCGAATATAAATAAACATCAAAATCACATCGTGATAAATAGTGATTAGTGTTACCTAATTGGTTAGGTTATGGTCTGGTCTGGTTTGGTGAAAAGGACATGAAACAAATTCAATTAAATGAACATGTTTTCTAGTCTATGTTTGGTGATCTTAAAATTGTTCGGGCTTAGACTTATTAAATTGGACAATTATCCTACTTATTAAAGAAAACAAGTCATCTCTGGCTCTATGAGACGGACTTAATCCCATTATGTTTTGGCCCTCCCACCAAAGGAGGCTTATAAGTTATAAGGACACCGTTGCAGTTGCGGTGTTATTAGAACTTTTCTTTGTTACATTAGAGGCATTTGAACCATTTACCTAATCTATTTTTAATTAATTTCTCCACCCTCCCTCGTCGCTTGGGGCATTATTGGAACAGAATTATGGTTGTCTCCTTGAAATGTTAGCTCGCAGATGTATGGACCAATAGATATCTATGAAAAAACGGATGCAACAACTTTTCAAACGTTTTGCGTGATAATTTAGATTGCAATTAAGATATGTTTGGAACCCACCTGTAAGCAAATTGAGCAGCAAAATTCACTGCATGAATCAATGATATTGCTGCTGCTGCTGCTGCTGTAAAATGTACTTCGAGGGAGCTTTTGAATGCAATCCTGGGATAATCCCTTCACTCCAGCAATGTCATAGATATCAGAAATCTCTCTGTAAGTTGTTTCCAGATTGCTAACCTGCTCAATAAGTTTGCCATTGTAACCCTAATTAGTTACTAATTAATTATTTAGAAAGGGCAAAAAAAAACTACTAAATGATGGTTTAGGTAGAGAAATGATGCTACTCACTTGCCAGTGATAGGCTTTTAGCAATGAAGAATTCACCCATTCCATAAACACCTTCCCATTTACCATCCCACCCAAGAAAGCAACCTATAAAAGGAAATTAAAAATATTACTATAAGAATCGAGATTTCGACCAATTTTAATATTCATGTAAAAATGAGAACGAGGGTCCAACTCTAGTCGTATGTGCGGTTATTTGCTCTTTACGTGCACAAGGGGTTACCTTAGACAACGACTCGCCGTCCACTGCCAAATCCATCAATTGAATGGCAGCAATAGCCCCTGCCAAACCGCCTATGCCGGCACCTTTAATAAACCCGGTCTCCGTCGTCTGGCCTTTAATGGCTCCATGAATTGCTCCCACTATAGCTCCTCCTGCAAAACGATCATATGAATTTGTTTAAGTTTCACAAACCAAGACAATGGGATAGTTGAAAATATCAACTTTAGGCGGCACCAAAAATTTTTTAATTTGGTTTTGTTTTAAAGAAACCTCGACGGTACTAAAATGCACCAGAATACATTAAGCCAAGAGCTTAGCTAGAAACATACCTAGTGCAAGAATGCCGGTATATGCAGCAAAAACAACTCGTTTTGTGACTCGACCCAAAGCTCCGCCGCTGGAATCGCCAATGGCAGCCAAAACCCACAAAGAAACAACCTCTTCACACCTGAATGCGGCTCTCAATAACCCTGAAAACCACCCCTTCATCATCATAGGAGGAGAAATGCAAAAACTAGACATGATTGTGTTGAGTGGAAAGTGGGAGCACACTATAAGAATTTAAAGGGTGAGGTGCACTTAAAGGGTAAGGAGCTGAATGGCTAGGTATTTAAGAGAGATAAAGCTAGCTTTAAGGAGCTGAATGGCTAGGTATTTTAGAAAGAAAACTAAGTGCCTAGGACCAATTTTTCGGTGTACCTGGATCACGGCCAAATGTCCTTGTTAATATACCCTATAAGTGGAAAATAACAACTATGTCGTCATTCTTATTATAATATGTGAAATAGTACACTGCGTGAGTAGTGTTTTCAATATCTATAAAAAAATTATCAATCAATTTACATGTGTTGGAGGCTTGTATCTTACCATAAACAAAACAAAAACAAAATTTAAATTTTTAGATTTTTTATATTATTTTGTTTAGGAGCCAGCTAGGTGGACAAGAATGAGACAACACGAAATGCTACTGACTTGAGCAAGTAAACCTCTTTGGTTAATGCATAATGCATGTTTAAGGTATGTCTTTCTTCATTTCCTTTGCCTTTTTTAGTGCGTCCTCCATTTCCCACTTCCCACTTCCCACTTCCCGAATCCTAATCTTACTGTTTTAAACGTTGCTATTGTGATTGGTTATAATCTTATCTCTATGCAACCAATCTTCTATGTCATAATAATATCTTTTAACTTTATGGTGCAGGGTGGGTATCAATCTGGTTGAACCAACTAAACCTGTTAATCCATTGTAGTAAACGGTTTAGTTTGATTTTTGCCAAATGGTCCATAACCAAATTCAACCATAATGATTTGGTTCGGTTGTAGTTTTGAGCTTTTACAAACTAGCCTGAGTCAATCGTACCGATCACTTCTATGTATTTGTTTTGAGTAATGTTGGGAATATCAAATTTGTAAATAATATGATGCGTCACTAATAAGAAATAAACATATTAATCAATACTTAAGTAATAATTCAATTATCAATAACCACATCATATGATTTATAAAATTTAGTTTTAAAAATTTATCTCCTAACATTATGGCTAATAACCATATGAGAATGTTGAAGACAAAATGTCACATCCCGGCCCGGGCCCCCACCACATCCCAGGCTCGACTCCGCCGTAGCACGATATTGTCCGCTTTGGGCCTCGACTACGTCCTCACGATTTTGTTTCTGGGAACTCACACGAGGACTTCCAAGTGGGTCACCCATCATGGGATTGCTCTCTCACTTAACTTCAGAGTTCCGATAGAACCCGAAGCCAATGAGCTCCCAAAAGGCCTCGTGCTAGGTAGAGATGAGAATATACATATAAGGCTTACAGGATCCTCACCCCTAGACGATGTGGGATCTTACAATCCACCCCCCTTAGGGCCCCGACGTCTTCGTCGGCACACTTCCAACCAGGGATTGGCTCTAATACTAAATTGTCACATCCCGGCCTGGGCCCCCACCACATCCCGGGCTCGACTCCGCCATAGCACAATATTATCCGCTTTGGGCTCCGACCACGCCCTCACGATTTTGTTTCTGAGAACTCACACAGAACTTCTCAATGGGTCATCCATCATGGGATTGCTCTCGCGCCGCGAACTTACTTAACTTTGGAGTTTTGATGGAACTTGAAGCCAGTAAGCTCCCAAAAGGCCTCGTGCTAGGTAGAGATGGGAATATACATATAAGGCTTACATGATCCTCACCCCTGAACAATGTGGGATCTTACACAAAATTCATAGAACTTTGAAGTTACTAATCTCTGAGTTGGAACTACATTAGTTACTGAACTTTGAAGTTTTATGACATGACTTTAAGATGATATGATGTACTAGAAAAGGAAATAACACTAACCTTTTTGACAATCTAAATTATATATCTATATTTTAGATCCTCTTTCTCATACTACCTACCAAAAATCATTTAGATCTGAAATTATTTGGTCATCTAAAACATGTAGATTGAAATAAAAATACAAAATAATCAAATGGCTAAAAATTTCAAATTTAGTTAAGGCTAAATAGCCAAAATGGTCCATGAGATTTGCATAACTCACCACTTTGGTCCCTAACATTTCAAATAAAAAAAAGTGATCACTGAGATTGTCCACCATCCATCATTTTGGTCCTTCCATTAAAAACTCCGTTAGGTGTCCCGGAGCTCTTAGTCGGAAGTTTGGGCAATTTTCAAAGCTTCGTAACTCAATCGTTATTTAACCAAATTTGACCCATAATATATCAAAATGAAGATAGGAAAGTGTAGCATAAGATTATACCTATTTGGAAGCCCAATAGTTACCGGCGATGCCGGAAAATAGCCTCAAAGTTGACTGGTCCGAGGAAAAACTTGAAAACTCGCCAGAAACGAGGTAAACTTTAAACGTTCATAACTTCTTCAATACTCAACAAAATCAAGTAATTCAAAAACGAAAATCATACTCCTCGATGAGACAAAGAGAATGGTATATTTTTTGATGGCTAAATAGCCGTGGTTTGGTCGGAAAATGGCTCGAAAGTGGTTGTCTTTGTCTCGAGTTAGCCACTTTCGAGCCGGTTTCCGGCCAAACCACAGAGATTTAGCTGTCTAAAAAGGTACCATTCTCTTTGTCTCATCAAGAAGTATGATTTTTGTTTTTGAATCACTTGATTTCGTTGAGTATTGAAGAAGTTATGAACGTTTAAAGTTTACCCAGTTTCCGGCGAGTTTTTCAGTTTTCTCTCGGACCAGTCAACTTTGAGGTTATTTTCCGGCCATCTTCAGCAGCCATTGGGCTTCCAAATAGATATAATCTTATTCTACACTTTCCTATCTTCATTTTGATATATTATGGGTCGAATTTGGTTAAGAAACGATTGAGTTACGAAGCTTTGAAATTTGCCCAAAACTTCCGGCCAATAGCTCCAGGACACTTAACGAAATTTTTAACGGAATAACCAAAATAATGGATGGTGGACAATTTCAGAGATCATTTTTATTGATTTGAAATGTTAGGGACCAAAGTGATGAGTTATGCAAATCTTATGGATCATTTTGGCTATTTAGCCTTTAGTTAATTGTTTACATGAATAACCCTTCAAAAAGAACCTAAAAACTAAACGTGTTCTAATCATTTTATTTTCTATCCTTAATTATTTGGGATTTGTCAGCCAATTAAGTGGTATAAGATAAGTGGAGTGAAAACATGCTCAAATTTTTATGCTAGCAAGGACAAGAAAATCGAGGGAAGATTTTCTGCTTAATAATTATGAAGAATATGCAATCCAAAATCAATTGGCAATGGATATACGTCTCAATATTATTATTATTATTATTATTATTATTATTATTATTATTATTATTATGTAATGCAAGACTTTGAGTTTCACAAGTGGGATAGTTATGAACAATGCTTCATCTAGTTCTGGATATCAGTGGTTTTAATACTAGCAACAACCAAATACAGATTGAATAATCCAATCCAATCCAACGTGCCAGTTGAGCATATATGGTATTACATGCTTGCTACCCAGTTACTATCTACAGTGCGATCAAGTTGCAGGCAGGCCATATTTATTAAAGATATATGGGATGGGATTTGATACCAGTTGCCATCCCTAAATATTTTGCTTGTTAGTTTGGGTTGTCTAGTTACATGCATTAAAACAAAGCTTGGGAGTCTAAATCTAATTAATTAAGTACTGAAGAAGGCAGGAAACCAAGCAAAACCAGGTGCTGGGAATAGGCAGAGGGTTAGAGCTTCTGTGGGTCAAGGGAAAGTGGCGCTATAAATTAATATTGCGTATGGTTAGGTATATATGTGTGTATGTGTGTGTGATAATTGAAGGCTAGGGACGTTCCACCTTCCTTCTAGTTTGTCATGCAGCCATCACCTACAACGAACGAGGATCCTCTTTGGATCCTTTTTGTGAGGATTTCAGATATCCATAAATTGTATCCGTTCATTGTACATCATACGATCAGTTTTCGTCAGGTACTGTTTGTATTCAATTTTAAATAAAAAACTTAAAATGAATTATGACCGCACGATGCACGATGAACCGATACAATTTACGAATCTCCAAGATCCGCACAAAGAGGATCCAGAGAGGATCCTCGTTCCCCTACAACGACCCCACAAAGATATTTGACAAGTTGTTATTTCACTATACTGAGAAAAAATGTTTAATATAATATGTATGCTACCAAGTATTAGTTTTTACGTATATATGGAGGAAAAACTAGTAGGATAAGCAAGGTATCGTAAGAGAAAAACAAAGGAGTACGATGGCTACAAAAACCAACCAACTCACTTAAATTAGTGGTAGCGTTACTATTACTATGGCAACTTTGTTTGGCAGAACAGCACTCATGTCATGTGCTTCTCACCACCTTTAATTAGTTGATTATGATTGGGATTAGGTTAGGGTTAGGGAAAAGAGAGTGAAGGGACGTACGAGAATAACGGGGCGGGGAAAAGTAGATTAATATGATTTGAAATTTAGTGTGGGTGGGGGACATTAACGTTGTTGTGAGTTATATATTTATGGGTTAAACTTTGTTTACTACCCTCATGTTTCGTGATTTTCAACATTTAATACATCAAGTTTTTTTCGTCCCAAAGTCATACCTAAAGTGTTAATTTTGAGACAGTCTCATACATCCGTTAGTCAAACTGTTAATTCTCCTGTTAAGTGATGACGTGGCGCCCATGTGGATACTTTTCTTTTGTGGGTGGTAATCTAGTTACTTGGAGAAGCAAGAAACAAAAAGTGGTGGCTAAGTCAAGTTCTGAAGCTGAGTTTCGTGGTATGTCTCATGGTGTATGTGAGTTGTTACGGTTGAAAAATTTGTTAAGAGATCTTAGATTTAAACCTAAGGGTGCTATGAAATTCCATTATGATAACAAAGCTGCTATTGAGATTGCTCATATCCAGTGCAACATGATTGAACAAAACATGTAGAGATTGATCGACATTTCATCAAGGAAAAATTGGATGCTGGAATTATTAATTTTCTATTTGTGAGATCTCAAGATCAACTTGCTGATGTCATGTGCTTACTAAGGTTGTGTCTAATAGTGTGTTTTCCAACTTGCTTGACAAATTGGGCATGCGTGACATCTTTGCTCCAATTTGAGGAGGAGTGTTGTTACGAGTTATATATTAATATATTAGTTAAAGTATAAATAATAGTATGTTGTCCTACATTGATGAAGTGCATATATAATACCAATTGTAACTCCTATATATAATTCACTTTGGAGATTAATGAAAATACAAGAAATTCCCAAATATTGTCATATATAATTTTGGTATTTTACCATGTTTAATTCAACTATTAACTATCTTGGAACAACGTAAATCCGACCGTGAATCTGCAAGAAAGTAAATAACACAAGATGTATCATGGTTCACCCCAATGTTTGGGCTACGTCCACACTGATATTGTATTTCTCTATTTGTAAGAGGATTGAGAGGGAGATAGAGCTTCCTTATGTGAGGATGAGCTTCTCTGAATATAAGAGGGGATGTCAGGCTTAGGAGTTGGCCTCCCTTAATGAGGAGAGTGAGGGGTCCTTTTATAGAATAAGGGCTCCTTACTTATTACATATTTGCCCCTTCATTTATCATATAATTACATTTGAGTCCCCCAAATATTTATACGAAATCTAAATACGGAGGCCCTAAGTATGGTACAAACAAACTCATTAAGTCATAGGCCTCATTTTCGGCCGAATAAGATCAAAATACATGATCCTAATGGCCAGTTTAGGATTATTGTATTTTTTTTAACTACTTATGTAGTGTTTTAAGAATAGTCAGTTGTAAAATAAAACAGTTGAGCATTTGATAAACTATATTTTTAAAAGTGATGTGAGTATGAAAAGCAAAGCAAAGGCGTTGGGTAATTATTAATGTAAAAGTGATATAATTGTTATATAATCACGACAAAAATGGACATAGTAGTAGGGGTGATGGCATCAACAGAGGTAGAGGTAATGGCGGTGATGGCAGCGACAATGGTAAGGGTGTAGAAATAACAGTCGTGGCATCGGTAATGGTGGAAATTGCAGCGTTGTTGGCGATAGTGATGGCAACGATGGTGGTAGTGCTGGCAACAGTGGTGTAAGGTGGGTGGTTGCAATCGTAGGTGGTGGACAGTATGTGCATCGTAACTCTTAAGCCTCATTTCAATTTTATAACCAAAATTTCATAATTTTAAAAACTTATTATGAGACCTAATTTACACCTTCCTGGAATAGTATATATACGAGTTTACTCCACGGCTCCGACCTGAAGTGAATACTGGACTCTCCAACCCACTGTCGGAGAGTGTTACAGCATTTGTGGTTCCTAATACAATCTTGTGTGCCTACTCCAACCATAGTGCGTATTGTAGGTACCTCACGTCAGATCCAGCTATGCTCCATTTTTTTGTGCTAACCAGCCTTGTCCAGTTTAAACCCCTTGTTATCTGCCACATGGAAACCTAGCTAGAGCAGAGGACGTGAGTGACGTGACGAGCCACTACGCGCATGGACAAACAAAGCTAACCTTAGGTTGCTATGTCAGGCAGTTGTGACACCTGAAGAGATAGAGTCAAGTGGCTGAGTGGCAGACTCCCTTTTATGTAAACCATTCATGGAGCTACCAATCCCCACAATGATTCATAATCACCTATAGATAGATGTTCTGACTCCTCACAAAGGGTTGGACAATCTGAACTCATCTTATACACTTATTATCCATTTTCCCCATCTCATATCATACCTGACTTAATCGTCGGAGTGCCTACATTGGGAACCACCATCTTGGGAGCTCAGTTTCACAACCCTTTGTTTGTCTTTGTCTTCACAAATCCTCATTCAACCTTGCGTAGAATTGGGTCCAACAGTTTGGTGATTTCATTTTGAGGCTAACCTATATTCCCCTGCAAACACTCTACCCATACACATGGCAGATCATACTGACCCATTAATGGCTACCAGCGCAAATATGGATGCTACATTCATCGAGGCAGGAGAACTACTCTAGGAATCTCGTCCTAGAATCCCAACATGGTGGAGAATCCTCTTTCCCAAACTATGGTGCTCCTAGATCCCATTCAAGGAATGCTGGAAAAGTTGAGCAGCAACATGGAGAGCCTTTGACGTAACCACGCTTCCTCCTCTCTTGACACTCAGAAGCAGATGTTGGTAGTGTAATTTGTGCAAGTCTACGATACAAAAACCGTATTCGAATCCTAATTTGGTTTCGCAAAAAAATATGGTGGTGTTTCTCAATATGGTTTTGTTAGTGTGGGAGTGAGAGAGGATGGATGAGAGATATGAGGAAGAATAGGGGGCAGAAACGACGTTGTAGGGTATGGAATCAAAGGCCAACAACGGTGATTGTTGAAGCTGGGAATGCTGAACAACGTCGGGGTGAGGTAGGCGACGACGTCCTTCCAGTTAGTATGATGTGTTGATTTAATGGTTTAAGGTCATTTTAGATATCTGAATGTTTCATTAAAGGTCTCCGTGCCTTTTGAAAATTAGGTTTACGCAGAAGTTATGGAAGCACCAAAAGCCAATTTTTTTAAAGCTAACGGTTGCTGCTTTGGTTTTTTGTGTTTTGTCTTTTTTCACCCCAAAATTGTGAAGAAAAAAAAAAGATTTGATTTTGGATGTTTATCAAACACAAAAAACTAAGAACCTTTTTTTATACCTGTTTTTTAAAAAAAAAAAAAATTAAAGCAGTACCAAACTGGTACTTATAAGCCATTAGTTTCCACACGAAATTGACTAATATGTGTACCAAACACTCGTACAAAATTTGGGCGCGATCAACTTCATACCTTGACGGCTTGATGAACTAATGAAAAATCTAAACCCTCAAAAAATCATCCCCAGAGCCCAACAAACCTTCTAAAAAGTTGTAAAAGAAATAAATGTTTTTGGGAACAAGATGGTATTCTCCTTGGATCTCTATTTATTTTAATTCTATTACAACCCGAATTTGAATGAACCCCGAACCGAACCAAGCTCGATTCAAATTCGAGCTACAGCCCATTCTGATACCTACATAAGCCCATAAAAGCCCACGAAACCCGAAATGGACTCCAAAACAAGTTTTTAGACGGAATTGATTACGCTCCATAGATCCGACGGAAATCATAAACTTCCTTTCTTCTTCCCGTATTCTTGTTCCAGCCATTAACGACCAGTCTGAAGCTCAATCTCTTATCTTTGGACGCTCTTCCGAAACCAAATTTCCCATCAAAAAAATAAATCTGTAAAAGGTACGTAATTCGAACTCTTATACCATGAGCGATGCTTGATTTTTTGGAATCTTCCCATCGAATTAGATTTGTATTCGTAATATTTAGCATAGTGTGAGTAGTGTGTAGCAGTGTGGGTGTGATTTTCTCTTGAAATTTAAAGGGTATTTGTTTCTTAATGTTTGTAGAGAATTAAAATTTGACATTTAGAAATTGGAATGCTGTTTTGTTCTTGGTACTCATGGGACAAGCTGTTAATTAAATTAAAGCTTTAGTTTTTAGGGTTTCTTAGGGTGGCCATAGCTGCATTACACAAATTTGAGATGGTATGGGTAATTGGGTACCTTAGCCCTGGGGCTTAAATTGAAAGGAAGCCGCTTTCATCTGTTTATTTTTTATTTTATCGTTATTATTTTGGTTTTGTGTTATTTTGGTGTCACTTGTAATGGGTTGTTTTGGGCTCCCGTAGAATGATGTGAGAAGGTTACATTGTGGAGCTTGGCAATATCTGTGGTATCCATTATCCTCTAGTATGCTGAAAATGGTTTGCTGGTTTCGGAGGTTTGACATCGAAACAGGTTGCAATTTGTCATAGAAATTATTGATTGTTTTGCAGTATAAAGACCAAAGTTGGCATCAATACCGTTGGTTTCATTACATAGATTTCAATAAAAGATACTCATGTATAAGTAATATATGACTAGCAGGCAAACGGAGATCTATGTATGCAATATTGTTCAAAATTTGTATATGGAACTTGAATATGATATCTTTCAGTTGTATGTTCAGAACTCCGTTCTGTTTACTTATTATGATTGAATACATTGCAGGGATATTGGTTCTCTAGGGAGAACAATGGGAGATTTAGATAATTGTGTTAAAGATGATTCAACATTGGCCAGAGAATCGGACCTTAACTTTGCAGTTGATGAGGATGAAGAAAACTTTGAAAGACGAGGTGACTTCGATCAGGATCAGAACCAACATGAGCAACATAGTTCCCCCTCACTAAATCCAGAATATTCTTACCTTGTGGCAACTGAATCTGGTCATGACAGTGTCGTTGAAACAAAATTTGCCCATGATCCAGAGAGGACTCAGTCTCCATTCAAGGACAATAACCAATACCAAGGTGAGATGGATGAGTTGCATGGAAGTAATTTTCTTAACCCCTCCTCTCATTCTAAGTCGCAAACATTCCATAATGAAACGGGAGCTGAAGATTCTGCTCATTCACAGGAGTCTCCACTAACAGCAAATGCAAACCGGGGAGCTGGAGAGCAGAGCGAATCTGACATGGGTAGGCCAATTGATGCTCCGCATGGTGGGGGAGAGAACAGATTTTATTCAGAGAGATCACAATATGAATATGGTGAACCCAAGAAAGATGACTCCCTAGGTGAGAACAGAAACCCTGGCATATATCATTCTGATCTTCATTCTCCCAAAAGAACTGCCGAAGGATCAGTATCTCCTAAGACAAAGAGACAAATGTCAATTTCACCTGAAGGCTCGCCTTCTCATCAAGGTTCTCAAGCACAAATGTCACATTGCCAGAAAATTTCTTCCCCTGAATTGCATAAAGGAATTTCACTTGATCAATTATCTCCGACCAGGCAAAGTTCTGCTTCAACACAGGGCATTCAGCGCCAGTCCCAGCATAAGGATAGCTCTTCTCACAAGCATATAACTTTGCCCCCAAGGTCCCACCGCTCACCCCCAAGGTCCCATCGCTCACCACCAAAGTACCGGAGAAGGGATAGATCAGAGTCACGATCACCCATTCGACACAGAGATTCCTATGGTTCCCAGAGGGATTACCGTGACCGAACTCGATCACGGTCCCCATATTCAAGAGTCCATCATAGGTCCACAAGGTTAACTTCTATAGTCTCTCCATTATCATATGTTAAAATTCTAACAGTTTCACATGGCAACAACTTTTTTGTAAGATTTGGCTTATCTCTTTCATTTGGTACTCCTATCCTTGAGCCATGACCACCTCAAAAATTGCATTTCTGAATCAACCACTGTTATCTGATTGAATTTTGATAAGAGGATTGTAATCTCTCAAACCTTCATCAACATTTATATATAATAGTAATACCTTAGACTTAACTAGCTTTCTATCATCAATCATGCTTTTCTTTATCTCAAATTATACGAAGAATATTCTTGACTTCTAATTCATATGCATTACCATAAAGTTATGATTATGTAAATTGAATAGTCCAAGATTTTTGAGGTAAAATGGATTACTTAATGAGTGGAACTTTCACACTTTGGTTATGTCAAAGATCTCTCTACCCTCCAAAACATATAGTTCGGTTCCTAATGTTTTATCCCTTAATTCATATTAGGGAAAGGCATTCTCCAAGGCGAAGGTCCCCTTTTCCAGAATATCATTCTCCTCACCGATCTCCTAGAAGGAGACCTTGGTCACCACCTCCTAATAGGAAAACTGGATTAGGGAAACCTGGGAGAAATTTATTTGTTGCAGGTTTTAGCTTCGCGACTACAGAGAGAGATCTGGAAAGGAAGTTTTCTAGGTATGGCAGAGTACAACATGTTCGGATCGTTAGAGACAAGAGGTAATTGTGCAGTTTACAGTGTACTTGCATATATTGAGGTAGTTGACATGGATACATGATGCGTTCTGTGTCAGTGAAACATCTGCTTTGCTTAGCTATTACCTTGTGCATGCGTTTTCCCTGTGATACATACTTGGTAGAATCTTATTTGAGTTGAGTTTTTATTTTTGTTGCAAATTTGTTTCTTCTAAGGTCGGGAGATTCGCGTGGATTTGGATTTTTGACGCTGGAAACGGATGAAGATGCTGATGCAGCTATCAGAGCTCTAGATGAGACTGAGTGGAATGGTCGGATTATTCTTGTCGAAAAATCCAAAAGTTGAGGGCTTGAGACTCACCTTGATCACAACTAGCCATTGAAATCTTTTTTTCAGTCGTGTAATTTTGTTTTCTGAAGTTAGTACTGCCCACCAGTGTTGTATACAAAATGAGTACAGATTATATATCACATCATAAGGGGTTCTCTTCATTTTTCTGTATTTATTTGAATGAGTAAATCTCATCAGTCATCTTCTCTGTAAGTTGTTGGGTCTGTCAAAGATTCAAATAATACGTGATGCGTTCTGTGTCAGTGAAACATCTGCTTTGCATATATTGAGGTAGATGACATGGATACGTGATGCGTTCTGTGACATGGATACATAACAAATAATACAAAAAAAAAATTTGGGATTCATGCATTATGGTGAATGTATCATGTTATTAAGGCTGATTAAAATATCGAAACTGAAAACGTGTTTTGGAAGGCACTTGATTGAGAAACTAGGGAGGCCCTTGAACTTGGTTGTGAAGATCCCTCTCTTCCATAGTGCAACGTCATGAGCGTGCTAATAACGTGTTGTAGGCCTATTTTAGTGAGGGAATGGAGAGAAGATGCATTATAGGGACCAAAAAAGAAAAAAGAGTTGAGAAATTTCTATGGCGTAACTTCTCACCACTTTGTGTCTTTATTTATAATAAGCATAACCGGCTTCCTTGCTCTCATTTTTTTTTTAAAATTTTTATTCCAAAGCGTTCACATAACTTGTACAAGACAAGGATAATGAAAAATGATGTAATAAAGTCGCATGACAAGCACACAGTTACGTTGAGGGCCTTAGGCTGCTGATCGCTACACAATCCTTGCTTGCAAGCTTCATTCATGTCAGTTTTTGTTGCTTCTAAAAAGTCATATTATGTCATCAAAGCGCAATAATACACTCAACACACCCAATAACTTTTTCCGGACATAATCTATTGCCACATGAAAATGCATGCTATTATCAGCAGTGCACGTGTGGGTGTGCTTACCATCCTAGCCTTATCTACTTTTTTAGTTGATTCTGGCCGTTTTTGCTTCATGGGTTGGCATGATCCTCCTCACTTACAAAAGTATGAACGACTAGATCCCTGCACATATGTATACGTAACTATTCCTACCACACTTCGTTCATGATATAATTGCACAAGAAAAATGCTAAAGTAGTTGCTCACGTGACTTGTCTTGATGTCTTATTGTGAGCTGATATTAACTAATGCTTGTTCGACTAATCCTAGCAATCCTCATTCATATTTTCAGTATTATTATTTTGTGGATTTTGTTTGTAGTTTTGTGATGCTTATAAGACAAGGTCTTTTCCTTCATGTTTGGGCTTCAAAGCATGTGGATGCAAGCACGAGCACACAACACAATCAAAACCAAAAACGCCTAGTTGTGAATGTAAAATTGCATTTCCATTTTCTAGCAAACAAAAGTTTGGTAATCCCTAATGGGGTCTCATACGTACTCATTGATGTCACACGTTCCACGTTTCCAGCTCCTCTTACAAGAATGAGGATCCTCTTTGGATCCTCTTTGTTGAGGTTTCTGGGGATTCTCAAATTCTGTCTGTTTATCGTATATTGTACGTTCAAATACTGTTCATGTTTAATTTAAATAAAAATATTTAAAATAAATTTTGATCGCACGATATCAATAAACAACAATAATTTAAGAATCCTTAAAACCCTCTAAAAAAAAAAAAGGGAAAGAAGATTCTCATTCCTCTTACAATAACCACGACAAATAGAATACCCATGTGTCCCCTGTCTATTATAGTATTATCCACTATTTTAGTGGAATTTTTGGGTCCCACAATATGAGTCCCTGTGTTGATCGAACGCGACTTTTGGGAGCCCATGTTGGATGATCTTCACATTCAAACCCTTGATGCACAACATTTCATGATAATGTGAAATTATTAGTGTTTCGAGACACAAGTTAGTACATCACGTGTGGTTTAACAATGATATATGCAGAGGTCTAGTATCATATTATGATAGATATAAAGCTTATAATCTTTAGTGTGGCTAAAATATTTTGTGGTTTAAAGTGCACTAGAATATTAATAGAGTAGCTGAAAGTATGATTTAATTTTTAAATCTCAAATTTTTATTTACTTTGTACTGAATGTCACGTAATATTATAAATTTTCCTCATGTTACAAAGTCATGTAACATTTTCTCATCGGACTTGTTGTTGGACAAATTATTACTATTTGAATCACACGTTTAAGAAAATAATCATTCAAATAAAGAATCAGATTTAATCTAACAGAATAACTATATTTGTAATTTAAGTATATCTTGAGTCCCCATACAGTTTGATAAGAGCACATTTACTCATGTTATATATGAAAAACGATATACTTATCAAGTGTTACTGTAAACTATGTTTTTACTTTAGGTAAGGTAAAATTATCAAGCAATTTATTCAACTAGTACTTGAGTTCACACTCACAACTCAAGATGTTACAAAATCATCCACTCAAATGTTTCCCACCATTTCTTTTTTCACACATTGCTTTCAAAACACTCAAATTTGTGTACACACGTATGAACAACTTATCAAAACTAATTTAAATTATCCACTATACTAACAAAATATTAATGTGATAATATTTTTCTTACTTTTCTTAAGAGATATCAACTTCAAAGCTTTCATTCTAATATGAGAAAAGTATAAAACAATGACCAAAAGGAACAACAATAATTAATTAGAAAGAAAAAGAAAGTTCCATTGACACTTGATAATTGTTCACCATAGACTATGCAAAAGTAGTCTCTTTGTAATAATTCAAGTCTTTTTTTTTTTCCTCGGGAAGTTATTGCGTTTTGTGAAATGATTACAATATTTTTTTTTTATTCATAGTTGTTCAATCATTATGACTTTTTATAATTCATGTGCAGAGTTCGATTTATTAAAATGTTTACATTGTAAAATTGGGTTTAAATCATGTTCTAAAAGTAGATCTAACATACACAATCTGAATATTCAAGTGAAAATTTAGATCATGTTGTGTTAGTCGATGCCTATAAAGTGACGCAAGTTAAAACATACATAAGCGATATGAACCTATAGGTTCAATACTTGGGGCCTACTAAAAAGTTGGGATAACTGGCCTTAAAATGTGATTAAAATCAACCTGCATAAAGAGTATAGTTCACAAAGAGTAGTTCACAATTATTTCACAACAAAACATCCCGAAGGCCACACTTAATGGGTCTCAAACCTCATGGGATCCGTATGATCTTTAGGAAAAGGATTGGATCCTTTTCCATAACCCACCACTTCAGATATAATGAGCACAAAACCACAAACAAAAGTAGCAAGAAAATATAAGTAGTACCGACTCTGAAAAGGAACTTAAAAGAATCAAAAAGTGTAGCGACTACTGGTTTTGTCGCTCTCTGTGTGCGAAATTTGTTAATCAACCATAATCCGAGGTGCCGCGTGACATAGTGTCTATTACATTAGAGATAGACGCTTTCGGCACTTTTTAATAATATTGACAATGAGGATGTTGTTATTAATAGTTAACACATATGTAATTGTGTAAATCTCAGGTAGATTGAGTTTAGGATTGTTCTTTATACGAGTGATTCTTTCTTATTAAACTTTGTATTACTTGGAGGGCAAATTTCTCTCTCCTCATGGTTTACTATAAATAAAGGTACTGGCATAGGGGTATACATCCTACAATTTTCCTGCGCTTTATTTTCTCCACTCTCTCTATTGCCGCGCTCTCTCTTCCTTTAATAAAATTGACTTCAACATGTTATCAATGCGTTTTTTACGCTACGCTAAAGAATCTGAAAGGTATTTTTTCGTTACAAACCAGTTCACATTTATATTCATGTTCATAATCCAAAACATAAGTACTAATTTTATGCTTAAGTATCCAAAAGAAATTCTAGATGTTTTACTTTTATCCATGCGCAAATGGATTTACTATAAAAGTCCTACAACAAGGATAAGTCTTCCTACATTTCCGGGAGTACGTCGGAGCTGCCTGTTATTCCTCGACGTCTACCGGTTCACCGCTATCAGGTTATGAAGGGGGGCGATACATAAAAAACTATGGTAGATATTTTGCAAAACAATAAACAATGGGATGTGCTATCCACACACTTCTTTTTACTTCTCACACATCTTTTGTTAATTTCTATCCGTTGATCTTCTTCAATTCATCCAATCCGACGGTCGAAAACCCAAAAGGTGTGAGAGAAGTAAAAAATGGTGTGTGGATATCACACCCCTAAACAATAAACAATAAACATGTTACACGTATTAACAATAAAAAAACATGTTACACGTATCTTTTTTATTTTAATTTTTCCAATAAAAATGTTGCAGCTATCATTTAATAAAATATATCAGCCTATAAATTACTTTATCTTCTTGTTGGAGGCATAAATTACTTGAATATGAAGAAAGAAAATATGATAATAAATTAGTCAACTTGGACTCCTTAGACTGTACTATATAAATAATGAGAAAGACATAAAACAAAGTTTGATTCAACAGCTCAGTTTAGAGCATCCTTAATGGGGCTTTATCCTCTATGAGGCTACCACATTTCTAGCCTTAGTGAGAAATTTCATCCCCAATGAGCCGGAAAATGGGGCTACCACTGGTGCTAGCAACTTCCTTTTTGGGGTAGCATAAAATCGGGTTACATCTAGCCCCAAAAAAAGTAGGTCCCACAAAAAATAGCAACCCATGTGAGCAAAATTCTATCACTCTCCCTCCACTTGCGAATACACGTATACTCTCCTTTTATTATTTTTAATTCTTTTTTCTTACTTATTTTTCTTGCAATTTGGCTAATTAATGATTGTTTTAAATTCCATAAGAATTAAATTTTCAAATTGATTTAACGTTCATGGGCATTGATGGGTGAAATTTTCAAATAATTTGTTTCAAAATTATATGATACTAAATTACCAATTGGTGCTAGGTAAATTGTTGTGTTATACGTGAAAATCAAATTATTTCAGAGCATGAAGTGGGGGTTTGTTTATTTCAATGTATGAGATTGAGATAAAGGAATCTAATCCAACGAACGATTTATAAGTGATGAAATCTAACTTTGCCACAATTTGAACTTTTTAGGTTGAAGGGTTCACAACAACAACGAAGCATTTTCCCACTAAGTGGGGTCGGCTATATAAATCTTAGAACGCCATTGCGCTCTGTTATGTGTCATGTCATCCGTTAGATCAAAATACTCTAAGTCTTTTCATAGGGTCTCTTCCAAAGTTTTCCCAGTTCTTCCTCTACCACTTCGGCCCTGAACCTCTGTCCTGTAGTCACATCTTCGAACCGGAGCGTCAGCAACTTAAGAAAAACTAACACAAAATAAAAAATAAAAAATCATCACTTAATCAAATTACTACATAAATAAATACATATAGCCCCATATAGAGCCCAAAAGATATAGCCCCTCATTGTGAGAGATTATTTTATAAAGCCCCAAAGATTCTTCGAAGCTCTAAATTGAGCCATATCCATCACTTTTCCAGCCCCATATAGAGCAATTTTATATAAAACAATTTCATCACCACATGATTTTTATTTAATTAATATACTATTACCCTTTGTTATTATGGACACTACAATTTTTTTACTATGGACTCTAAATCTTTTATTTTAAAAAACAGACATATTCGTGGCATCACTTTTTCTACACAATTTTTACACGTTTTTGTGAGGTCCACTTAGTAATATATTTCAACAATTCTAACTGTTTAATTTTTTGGATATTTCCTCAAAGTTTATGTCTATAAAAAATCATCCAATTCTAAAATTATATGACTGTTGGATTAAGGGTTTTAGTTGTTTTGTAGAACCGTATCCGTCCATGTTATTCACTACAAATGCCCGTTTGGTGGGCTGGATGAGACTGAGTTTTAGGGACATGATTGGATTGATAGGGATTTGTAAGACAGTACTTGTAACTCATATATAAGGATGAGTTAGATAACTCATTTTATTATGGATTCATAACACATTTTGTCCATTTCACATTTGACACAACAAACAACGGATGAGACTCAAATTCATTTTAATTGGTCACAATCTATCCTATACAGCTCACTAAACGTATGATTTTGGATTTGACCAATTTTGAAAAAATGATCTATAAATATAATATTTAAAAAAAAAGACAGTTCAGATACTACGGGGGGTGTATTCAATTGGGATTTTAAAGGATTTTAATTCTTTTAATGAATCTAGGGGTATTCAATCAGGATTTTAAGTGATTCTCTGAAATTCTAGGTGTATTCAATTAGAATTTTAAAATAGTTTATTAAAATCCTTAGAAATCCAGGTGTATTCAATTAAGATTTTAAAAAAGTTTATAACATTCCAGGTGTATTCAATTAGAAATTGATTTTAAAGAATTTGAGAAAGTTAAGGAATTAGAGGGAATTGGAGAGATTTCGTAGTGTATTTTAAGTATTCACAAATCTCACCTCTTCCCATGAGATTTCGAGGGAATTGAATCAAAATTTTATATGGAATCTCTACAAATCAATTAAACTCCATAAAAATCCATAAATTTATAAATCCATTAAAATCTCTCACATTCTCAATTGAATACACCCCCTACAACCAAAAATACATTAATGTAGTTGGTAAAATCCATTCCATATATAATTTGTTGGATTATTAAGCAGTCCCGGTGAAGGCTATAGCTACAGAAATCCGCGTCTCTGTCATTGTCTGTGTCCCTTGATTAGAATTTGGGAGACCTGAAACATTCAACAATTCCACTTGATTGAAAAGTTTGACCATCTTCTTTCTTCAACTTTTCCTTTCAATTCCAGGCTACTTTTCTCAAACCCTTTCCCAATTTACCTTCTTTATCACAGTCTCTCCAAATCCTCATCTGGGTTCTCTCTCCCTTGCCTGTCTGATCCAGAACTCTTTTGCTTCTCTCTCTCCTCTGCAATTCCAGCGTAAAAGGTATTACTTGAGCAAAAACAACAAATGGGCAAGTGTCTAAGCAAAAGCAAAGATTCAGAGCGACAACATAATGGCTACAGATCAGTAGGAGGCGGAGAAGGAGGAGGTGGGGTCCACCACCAGAAACCCCATAGCCATGAAGCTGCTGCTGTTCATCAACAACGACCCGAAAGACGCGGTCTGCCAGTCAACCAAGAACCCCAACCAGCATGGAAGCCGACAGTCGCGGCTAAAACCCCCAAACCAGTAGCTCCAAGGCCGGCAGACAACACAATCCTCGGAAAACCGTTTGAGGATGTCAGGGTGCACTACACCATTGGGAAAGAACTGGGCAGAGGCCAATTCGGCGTGACCTATCTCTGCACCGAGATTTCGACCGGCAAGAAGTACGCCTGCAAGTCGATTTCGAAGCGGAAGCTTGTCACCAAGAACGACAAGGAGGACATCAAGAGGGAGATTCAGATTATGCAGGATTTGAGCGGGCAGCCCAACGTTGTGGAGTTCAAAGGTTGTTACGAGGACAAGCAGTCTGTCCATGTTTGTATGGAGCTGTGTGCAGGTGGAGAGCTGTTTGATAGGATCATTGCCAAGGGACATTACAGTGAGAGAGCGGCTTCTTCGATATGCCGGGCGATTGTTAATGTTGTCCACATATGTCATTTTATGGGAGTGATGCATCGGGACCTGAAACCGGAGAATTTCTTGCTGTCTAGCAAGGATGAGAATGCCCTTCTCAAGGCTACCGATTTCGGGTTGTCCGTCTTCATTGAAGAAGGTAAATTTAGATATCATTTTCCATTGTTACTTGCTTGGAAATTCAGTATCCTTCACAATTGATATGATAGATATAAGGTATTAGGTGAATTGTGCGCATATGCTTCGATCGCGGAATTGTTTTTATCTGGAAATGATGTTTCTAGTGATAATGGTACTAAATTCATGCCAAAGTCAATGCAGAACCTAGCTGGATTTCATAATATATTGTAAGTTGATAGAAGACAAAGCCATTTTGTTTTAGAAAATAAGTAAGGGTAACCAGGACATGTTAGCTGGCAATTCAGATGGTAGATAAGCACTTTATCAAAACCGAATTATAAATGTTGAATTTATTACCTTTAGCACTGGTAGATAAACTGAGCCTCATGTTAGGGAACGAAGACGAATTGAATTTCATCAGTTTAGAAATCACTGCTTTGGTAATTTCATTTATTTTGCCATGTTTGATAGATGATGATACACGCTACACCAAACATGTTTCGCTGTCATATTTCCATAATGGCCTCCATTCTTTTCATGGAAGTGAGATGGAAGGAAAAGAAAAGAGCTGTACTGTAAATTTCTGATGCAGTTGTATTAATGACAAGTGCCTTCGCCCATGAGCGGTAGGTCTCGGGTTCGAGACTTGGGAGCAGCCTCTCCATAAATGGAGGTAAGGCTAGCCGACATTCACCTCTCCCAGACCCTGCGTAAAGCGGGAGCCTTGTGCACTGGGTACGACCTTTTTTAGTTGTATTAATGACAAGTTAACAACATCTTTAATTGCGTGGGGGGTGGGGAGAGATGGTCTTCAATTATGCAGCTTCATTATTTTTTAAACTCTGGTAGTAAGGTCACATCTCTGTCAAGCAAGGTCACACGAAGACCGAGAACAGCAACGGAACACTCTCTTACCCTCAGTGACCCACAGTAAAAAAAAGGCATATTATGTTTGCATCCTATTTTCGCATATCTCTGTGAGATGGAGTCCAGACCTGTAATTTGCCAGCATTAAAGTTTCCCACAACTATAAATTGTGTTTACTTTTAGCAACATAGTTAGAAACATGTATTTTAACACTTTTGTCAAACTTGGTTTATCTGGAACAGGCCAAATATATTGTTTGTTGTCTTTTGGACCTTCTTAATATGTTCTCTACTTTCATGGGTTTCACAGTTATCCTTAAGATGACATCATAACGTCACCACTAGATTGTTTGCTTAAGATTTTCTTTTGTCAAATTTGCTTATGATGTTGGTGTTTACCTTGTCTTTTAAAACTAGAGATGAGTAGATTCTGTATTTTCTTTGTAATTTACTAATTTACCGCAGATATATGTACTATGTTTGACAACTGTTAGCATTTGATGAATATTTTTCTTTATTGCGTATGATATGCTTCCACTTGTAGCATAGCTATTCATTATCTTTCATGGTAAACTCTTGTCAGGAAAAGTGTATCGTGATATAGTTGGGAGTGCTTACTATGTCGCTCCAGAAGTACTGCGACGCAGATATGGGAAGGAAATAGACATTTGGAGTGCAGGAGTTATATTGTATATTTTACTAAGTGGAGTGCCTCCATTTTGGGCAGGTAGACACAGTATATTTGTTTTGCGTAACATAATATCTTTGTGTACTAGTTACAGGTTCTGTATTTTTCATGTTGGTTTAAACGATTAATAGTTTCCAATGACTGATTTAGAAACGGAGAAGGGGATATTTGATGCCATAATGGAGGGAGAGATTGACTTTTCAAGTTCACCGTGGCCATCTATATCAAACAGTGCCAAGGACCTAGTCCGTAGGATGCTAACACAGGACCCCAAAAAACGTATCACTTCGACTCAGGTTCTAGGTATAGATCTCTTCCTTTTACTTGATACTTGGCTTATTGTGTCTAGCAGATTTATCTTGCAACTAAAACTTTTGAATTTGGGTGGCCAACCAGAACATCCATGGATCAGAGATGGCGGAGAAGCTTCAGACAAACCCATAGACAGTGCAGTGCTTTCTAGGATGAAGCAGTTCAGAGCTATGAACAAACTGAAAAAACTTGCATTGAAGGTACGTTTGTCAAGAGGTTTTCGGACACAGACTACTTTGAATTTTGAATAGTGCTGTGATGGTACTATATACTCTGTAGATTGGATCTGATTGTGCTTCGATTCTAACGGTGTATAATTTATGAATATGGTTATAGGTTATTGCCGAAAATCTTTCTGAAGAAGAAATACATGGGCTGAAGGCAATGTTTACAAACTTGGACACGGACAATAGCGGAACCATCACTTATGATGAACTCAAGTCAGGATTGGCTCGACTTGGTTCTAAGCTCACAGAGGCTGAAGTCAAGCAGCTAATGGAAGCTGTACATTATCATTCAATTTAAAATATCCCAGTTTTCTTTTACCTTTCGCATCCCACCCAACTCATGGTCTGCATTTGCATTTCAGGCTGATGTGGATGGGAGTGGATCAATTGACTACATTGAATTCATCACTGCTACAATGCATAGACACAGGCTAGAGAGGGACGAACATCTTTACAAAGCCTTTCAATATTTTGACAAAGATAATAGCGGGTAAGCTTTTTCTTCCAATCTCTAAGAATTGCGCATGCTTTCTTGGACGTTCATTTTCAAAGAACTAGAAAGTTGTAGGATGCTGCAGTTAATTACAATTCTGTGAAAACTGACCTCAGCTCCTATTCGCTCTGGATCCAGTTCTCATATTCTCAACCGCTAAATTAGATAAGATTAGGCTTATGGGTAAGCATGAATGATTGATTACCTAATGTTTTTCTTTTTTTGTGTGTGTTATTACAGGTTTATCACAAGAGACGAGCTAGAATCTGCAATGAAAGAGTATGGAATGGGTGACGAAGCTACAATTAGGGAAATAATATCGGAAGTTGATACAGATAATGTAAGTCGACATCCTCACAACTTTATTGAATTTCTCCATTATCATGCACATTAGTACTCAATTCCACTGGGATTACAGGATGGTCGGATCAACTATGAAGAATTCTCCACGATGATGAAAAGTGGAATGCAACCGCAGGCCAAGCTATTCTAAAGTTTCTTTCTGATGCCATTCTCCGACTGTTGCAAGCCATAAGTTCCCCTCGTAGAATATACATGTGTAAACCGAGGGAGGACCGTGAGTCGCATGAGTGGTACTTCATGCTTGCTGCCGATTGCTTGCCGGAGAAATGAACGTTTTAGTTTGGATTGGTTCTGAGTTACAAGTGCAACAGTTTGTGCTGCACAAATTGCGCATAACAAGTCAGCATCTCTTTTTTATCTTGTATTTATCTTTGTTGTCTTGTTTTTATCATGTTTGGCTCCGTACATTCTTTTTCACATTAATAAATGAAGAGAAATAATTTTTGCACGTCTTTTTTCACCTCTACACACTCGTTATTTTGGATTAAACAAATCGATGGAGAATCAAGTGTTAGAATTGAGAAGGCTGTGAAAAAAGTGAAAATGACCATGTATAAATCACTTTCCTAAATGAAGGCTTCCTTGTAGAAGGATTTGTAGGAAGGGAGGTGGTTTTACGCAATTATTTTAGCTTCTCACACATCTATTTTATTTTCAACTTCTGAATAATTAACAAGATTAAACAAGGACGTGTAAATTTCTCTTGTAAGAAATGCTATAGTTTTAATGTTGGCAACTCAACCGTCGAAATAATTTGCACCATCAGATCTATGTCTCTCGTCACGTAGTGAGTTTATTAGTTGGTTTAGCCAATCTATCTCTCTCGTCACGAGGTGGAGTCCTCGACCTATTATTAGCTAGTCTAACCAGTCTATCTCTCTCGTCGCAAGGTGGAGTCCACCTATTATTAGCTAGTCTAGCCAGTCTATCTCTCTCGTCGCAAGGTGGAATCATCCACCTAATGACAAATAACAGACGACATTTAGAAATCCCAAACAAACCATTAATATTTACAGAAAAAACATTAGAGTTGTTTAACAATGAAATCCCATAAAATTGAACTGAAATCCTCATCCACCAACAAAAACGGAAGCAAATTAACAAAGACCAGCATCATGCATCAGAAGTCCATAAATTCCACATTGTATAGACAATTCTGTTATTACAAACCCAGAACATCCAGACAAGCCAGGAGGTTCTGGGAGGTAGTAGCAAACTTAATACAACGGTAACAAACTCGACTACAACTCCAAGTCCTCAGAAGCCATGAATCTTGATCTGATCCTTCTTGACAATCTTGGCCTGAACGAGAAACTGCAGCACTTTCTTGCGCTGATCGCCTTGGAGCTGAATTATCTTGCCGAGCTCTTTGTCCTGAACAACATTCCCGTTGCAGCAGAACTCTTTCTTAAGGTCCTTGAGGATCTTGTCGTAGTTGAAGTCCTTCTTCAGCCCTTGAACTGTCGTCAAGCACTTCTTTCCATTTCTCTGCTGCACCCGGACATGCACATACTCCTTGGCTCCGGGGGCATCCGCGTCTTTGGCTTCGGCAAAGGGGTCAAAAGCAGTTGGGATCTGAACGTCGTCTTCTTCAACCATATATGTACTTTGCCTTGACTTGAGAAATCTACTGCAAATTCAGCTGCACACACACAGCAAACAAAACATTGTTAGCCCTCCTGCCATGCCCTGCCCTCCACAAATATTGCTTCAATACCAAGTTACCAACAATCATCCAACTAACCCGGATTATGGACACACGAAATTCAATTTATAAACGATTAGCTCCATCTATGCCATGAATTACAATGACAGTTTTTGTTTATTTATCAATTCGTAAAATCGAAAAACTATTGGCCAGAAGAGGTGTATACACCACCCTTCTTCCAATATGCAATGAACTTCGTAGAAAAAAAGAAACTTGTTATTAGCACTTCAATCAATAAATGCATCAACCCACAACAAAGCTCATGGCTGCGTTTAAATCCTCCAAAAACCAAACGAGTGAGCATAAAGAAAATGATTTTTGCACACCCACCATGTAGACATATGATTCTGTCCTTGATTCTCCAATCATTCATTCAATCCAAACGCCAGAATAAAGAAAAAAGGTGTGCATAAATCACATCCCAAACATGAAGAGCATAACTTAATTTGTTCATGCATGAACTTACAACATTTGGTTCAATCAAAGATGTACCAAAAACCAGAAGGTAACAAAACCCCATATGATATGACAGATTCACAGAAGCATCAATATTTACAAAGAGACAACATAGCATGATATGATATCCTAAAAAATCACACGACAAAGAATAAAAACACATAAATTTAAATTTCTTTGTACAAATACAAAAAAATCAAAGAAAGAAATGCAAATAATTGGAATTGGATCGTACCAAAATAATAGAAAGATTCTCTATTTGTCGGGAAACCTTACTCGACGAACAAGCTTTGGAGGAGACAAGGATGAAGAAATGTGGAGTCTTGGGGTCCTGATATATAGGCCTCGAGAGCGGTTGGCTGTAGCACCTGCGCCACAAATTCAACAAACCATGGTTAAGCTGAGGTCGGATTCATTAGTTGTACAACTGGACGGACGAGATCGAGTGTCTGTTAACTTGAGCGGTGTAATCAAGCTGACGTGTGTGATTACTGATTAGTGGATTAAAATATATTTTTTAATTAGTTAACCTTTCCGGGGAACGCGTACAATGAACGCACCCAGGCTGGCAAAATCCATGCAACTATGCAAGTGCAAGGAAAGCAACTTTAGAGCATCTTCAAATAAAATATCGAAAAGTTCATGTCCGTAATAACGATAATAAAAGATATTCTTAATCTTTTTTAACTGAAATGTCAATTCCTATGTGCCATGATATGAAAAGGCAGCAGAGGAAGTTGTTGTCAAATTTGATAGCAGCTTCAAATCTATTTTTAGTAATTAATAAATATTTTTCATAATTTTATACTTGTCTTTTGTTTCAAAATACTAATTATAACTATAAAAAGTAAATAATAGTTTAAATAATAGTTTAAATTTGACATATCGGTTGAAGAACAAAATTTATAGAAAAAATCAATGTGCCATTTATAAAAAAAAATTAATGTGCCACATGAGCCTTCAAATTTAAATTTTATGCTTAAACTTTGACATCTTCTTTGAAGAAGATCTTATATGCAACATGTTTCTATGTTATTGTGGCATCGGGTCAACAACACATTGTTATTTGAATTGGAATATCACGTGACTATTTCATGTAAGTTGTTCTTAGTAAAAAAGTAAGAGAAATTTATTCGCTATCGTCTTAGCATTCTGTTTAATAGTATATTATTATTTAAAATTCAAATATCACCAATGTAAGTTGTTTTCTAGAGAAAAGGAAGACATTCGGTGGGAAGAAAGAAAGGAGGGTAAAGCGAGTGGGGGGCCACGACGAAGAATCCAGAACATTTGAGTGGATATAATAAAATGGGAACAAGAGGGTCCATCCAATTGGCATATCAAGATACGTGTGAATAATCGAACGTATTGGTTTGGTGGTACCTGTTAGGATAAAAGATTAGTATTGTTTTACATTGCCAGGTGTCACAATTGTATTGGGAACTCTAGAAGTCAGTTATGTGTCATTGTATTTATAAGGATGTATGATGTAATAGTTGGATATAATGATAATACAGTTTCTCTCTCTACATTCTCTCTCGTCTAAAGCTTTCTTGAGTTCTTCATAAGTTCTTCTTCATAGTTTGTTATCAGCGTTATCATGGTATCTTCGCCTGCCATGGTTAACACCTGTGATTAACGATTCCTGTGCTTCCGCTCGTCGTCGTCGTCGTCGTCGTTGTAGTCGTAGTCGTCGTGGTCGTGGTTGTTCCGGTGACCGACATCGGATCCTTGCTGGTTGTTCGCAATTTCAGAGAAGTGCTGATTTCTCAAACCCTAAGTCGGTGGCATTTCTTCTTGTCGGTTGTTCGTTCTGTCATTGGAGACTGTTGATCTGTTCGTCGTTCTGTGCAGCTACTGCCGTGCCGTGATTCGTGTAGTCTGGTGCTCTAAGTCGGTGGAGTTTCTTCTTGTTGGTTGTTTGTTCTGTAGTCGTCAACGGTTGATTTGTTCGTTGATCTTTGCAGCTGCCGTCGTGATCATCTTGAGGTGTTTTCTTTCGATTTCTCCGTATTGATATTTGCAAGATTTTGTCTATCACAATTATTGCTTTGTGGTACTTCTTGCTGAGTGATTCTTGAGGTGTTTCTCTGTTGATTTCTTGATCTATTGATTCTTGTTCTTGCATTATGGTTACGGCTGCACAATTAACCCTCACTCAATCTCCAATTTCGTCGCTTATACCTAGTGTTGGAAACACGGTGACTGTGAAATTGGATGATTCCAATTATGTTACTTGGAATTTCCAGATTTCTTTGTTACTAGAAGGGAATGGAATTATGGGATTTCTTGATGGCACCATTCCTTGTCCTCAGAAATATACTGAGTTGGAGTCTGATGATGAGTCGATTGTACATAATTCTCCACTGACTGATGCCTATCAAGTTTGGCAAATTCATGATAAAGCTCTTATGACCTTGATAACTGCCACACTATCTACTGCTGCTTTATCTTGTGTTATTGGATGTCGAAGCTCCAGTGATATGTGGAATCATTTGAAAGAAAGATTTGCTCATATGTCTCGCACTAGTATTGTTCAACTGAAGATTGATCTGCAGAACATTAAGAAGGGGTCAGAATTAGGGCTGGGCACGGGCCGGGCCGGGCCCATTTTTGAAGGGACCGGACTGGACCCGGAATTAAAGGAGACGGGGCGGGCCGGGTCGGGCATTACAATTCTGAAAATAGGAACCGGACCTTACCCCGGCCCGGTTGAAACGGGCCGGTTCGGTCCGGGTACACGGGTCCTTTTTTAAAAAAAAAAAAATATTCAATACATTCCAATTCAAAGGATATCAACGGACAAGAAACATCCAGTATGATGTGTATCTACCCGTCTTTTTCATCTAATTAAGGAAATTAAAAGCTGAACAAACTAAACAATATCGTGAATTCTAAATTTTCAAATTCATGGTTTCATTCTTTTTTTTTTTTTAAATAAGCAAGAGATAGATTTGGTCTATCCATACAAGATGGATAATTGATAGTTACATCTCCCTTTTGCATCAGACAGGTTCGCTTTCTTACTCCTATTGTATGATACATTTTGTTGTGAAAATGAAGAAAAGCAAAGGAAAAGACTTTTTTAACAGCAAACACCGCAGTTTCTAAGGCTTAGTATTTTCACATTTTTTCCCTTGATCGAATTAACTAACCTGGCTCTCGACAAGACATGGATCATTTGGCATTTTGATTGCCAATAAGTGGTCCTTCCTTTTTGTTTAGTGAACCATGAACCACCCTTGCTGCTGTTATGGCAGAATCTGCCCTCTTGATAACTCCCTCAAGCTCTCCAACCTTCTCCGACATTGACATGACATTTGAGTTTGTTGACTGAACTAACTTGTTTGCAGTTTCCAAAGCACTGCATAACTTCAAAGTAAGAGCTGCCCATGAATGATCTGTACCGTCAAGCGCCTCATTCAGCTGCTCATAGTTCTCCTGGAACAACTTGGTGAGGTCCAAGCTCTGATCGGAGCTGGAAACAAAAGAAGACGAAGAGGTCTCAGGTTGTTGCGGTGGCGGCGAAGCATCTGATTCCCCCACGTCGCTCAGCAGATCGCCTATGCATAGAAGAGGGCCTCCCGCACCTCTCATCATCTCTCCCCTGCCATGGTTTCATTCTGAATCTTGCAATTACAGTTCACTACATGGCATGCAAAGCCTTGATGTAAAAAATTTAAATTTTCACGATTGCCTGCAGTATAAATGCGATTCACATCTTAAATCTACAGACCGTGTTTCCACAATAGTTTCTATTTTACTCCAAAAAAAAAATTGATCGCATACAAAACACAAATTAATGACACAATTCATCCAAATATACTCGAAAATTTTCAGATGATGAATCGGAAACAACAGTCACCCGAGGTCGAATCCTATCCTAACATTCCTCAACATTGAATTACATGCATAACTCACATACCCAGGTTTCGATGCGGTCGAAGCTGCAGCGCCATCAGCTTTGGTCTAAAAAAATTAAACACCCAACAACTAAATTCAGAACTCCAGGCATTACAAATAACAACAAAATCCGAAATCAATTTCAAAAGTTAAAGAGAGAAAGGAAAAGGAGATGATTAACTGCAACAACATTGGTAATCAGCTGATCAGCCCGGCGAGCCTTCGAATTCGAACCCGAGCTAACCCCGGCGTCAGATCTGACAACAAAGAAGCTCGCTTTCCTCCCTGAATCAAATCAAAACACAAAAATTAGCAAAATTTTAAAAAGAAAAATCAACGGAGAGGGATAGGGAGAGGGATTCGAGGGAGAGGGATAGGGAGAGGGAGAGGGATAGGGATAGGGAGAGGGACTCAGGGAGATGGAGTCGAGGGAGAGTCTGAGAATCCGAGAGACTGAGGTCTGAGGCTGCTGAGGCTGAGGATGCTTCTCGAACTCGGGACTCGGGGAAGGTTGGCTAGGGTTGAAAGTTGAAAACTTGAACTGACGGTTGAGATTGGATGGAGAGATGATATTAAATCTCGTCCGTCCAATCTAACACAAACCGGCCGGTCCGGGTACCCGCGGATCCTATAATTTTGGAACCGGCCCGCCCCTAAAACTTCAATTACCCGGCCCGCCCCGCCCCGATCTACTTTTACAAAACTAAGAACCGGCCCGTACCCGCCCCGTACCCGTATTACCCGCCCCTACCCGCGGGTCCAGGACCCGTTTGCCCAGCCCTAGTCAGAATCGATTGATGCTTACTTGCAGAGGATTAAAGAATGTAGGGATCAGTTAGCTATTGCTGGTGTTGTGATTTCTGATGAAGATATTGTGATTGTGGCTTTAAGAGGATTACCTACAGACTACAATACCATTAAGTCTGTGATTCGGGGCAGAGAAAGTTTGGTCTCCTTGAAGGAACTTCGGTCTCAATTGAAGGCAGAGGAGTCTACTTTGGAAGAAGGTCTTAAACAACCACATTTAATGGCAGCTATGTTTGCTAATGCTTCCAACACAACTTATGAAACTGGTGGATCTTCCAATTCTCGTCCATATACTGGAAACTTTGATCTGGGTTCTCATACTGGTCCATATACTGGTGGTTCTTCATTTTCACCAATGGCTCAGTTTCAACAATTGCCATTTCCCAATGGTCAGGTTGCTTTTGTTTCTCAGACTGGTTCTGGAACTTACAACAATTTTAGGGGGACTAACTATCGAAACAAGGGTAAAGGGAAAAGGTTTAACACTGGTTTTCAACAACCTTCTGGACATCAACACTTTGCTCAACCCTCTCTTCCGTCACAGTCTCAGTTTCAGAATTCTGGATCTCAAATGGCTTCGGGACAATCTTTTCAACCACTGCTGATTTGTCAAATATGTGATAAAAAGGGCCATGTAGCTTTGAACTGCTTTCAGAATGGCTGCCAAATCTGCCACAGAAAAGGGCACACAGCCGCCACTTGCTTTGACAGGAACAATACTGGATCTCTGCCTATGTCTACTTTCTCCTCATCTCCTATGATGTTTCCGCAGCATTCATATTCTCAGAATTCTTCACAGTTGCAGCCCCATCCTCACTCTTCACCTTCATTTTCATCTCCCATGCAGCATCCTACTATGATGTCTTCATCACAGTATCCTAATGGAATGATGTCTCCTCCCAATAATTCGCAGGCTGCTTTTACTGCACGCACTAATTTCTCACCATCCGCCCCCACACATGAGTATTGGTTGCTGGATTCGGGAGCAACTAATCATATGACATCTGATTTGTCAAATCTGCAAGCTGCTACTCCATATGCTTCATCGGAAACTGTGACTGGTGCTAATGGTGAAGGTTTACAAATTTCTCATATTGGTCAAGCTTGCTTATCCACTCCTTCTCATACACTCGAGTTAAATTCTGTGTTACATGTTCCACACTTGTCACAGCACTTACTGTCTATGTATCAATTATGCAAAGACAACAATTGTAGGTGTATTGTTGATGAGTTTTCTGTGTGTATACAGGACAAGGTCACCAACAAGGTTCTCTATCAAGGACTGAGTAACCAAGCTGTCTATCCTCTTCCACTGCTCAAACCACCAAAGACTAATCCTGCAGCTTTTCTTGGACAGAAAATAAATAATTCTCTTTGGCATTGTCGATTGGGTCATCCCACCAATTCTGTTCTACAAGTAGCTCTTAGTAAGTCAGCTATTACTTCCTCTTGTAATTCCCCATCTCAAACTTGTACTGCTTGTCTCCAAGGCAAGTTCACCAAGTTACCTTTTCCTGTAATGGCTTCCAAATCTTTTGTTCCACTTGAGGTCATTCACACGGATGTATGGGGTCCATCTCCTACCAAGTCTATAGAAGGGTATAGCACACAATTGGATAAGAAGTAAAGACTGTTTAAATCGTGTTTTTTTTTTTTAGGAAAACTAATGAAAAAGTTTTGAAAACTTTGAGTTTTAATGATAAGGACAAAATAAAAGGTAAAATGAATAGTACCAAGATTGACTTTTTAGTGTAAAAATGTGATTTTTCGTTAAAATAAACAGTACCGGCTGCTTTTCGTTAAAGTTCATTTTTATTTTTTTTTGGTCAACTAAATGCCGGAACCTTTATTAAACACATAACATAAATTTACAAACTACTGACTCACATACAAAATATACAAACAAACTATACAAATAAAAAAGGACCAAGAACAACGTAGATCTCTACTGCAGCCATTTCCACACCAGAAAATCCCATTCAGCAAGCAGCTTCCACGCTTCAAACAAAGCATTCCCACTTCGATCGCTTTTATTAGTTGATAACAGCTCTTCAATCACAACCACTAGCTGGAAAAAAACCAGCCATGAAGCATGTGGAGGTCGACATGCAACGCTGCCAAAGGCAGAGAGAGAAGGTGGTGGTGTAGATAACACCCGAACCAGTAAGAACGCCGGAATTCGATTCACCGACTCGATAAATCGCGACGAATCGCGATGAAAAGTGGCTACAAATTGAATTGGAAATGACCCAAAAAAAGGGATGCCAAAGAATTGTGGAGAGCAGACTAGGAAAGCGAAAACACAGTAGAAAATCACAAAGGGAAAAACAGAAGGAACAGAAAAGAAACTGCCACCGACCACAGCCAGAGCTAGGATCGACGACAACGTAAAGTGATGAAATTTCAAACACTCACACGAGACAGTGAGAAAGGCTCTCAAGCATAGAGAAAGGAAAGCAGCGTGTAAATCTTTCTAGCCGGCTAGTTAGATAGCCATCAATTTCTATGATCTAAATCGAGCATATTTTGCCTAATGGGATTCATGTGACTAATCTTGGAATGTTGTTCTTTAAAACTCGAGAAATTTAGTATCATCGAAATAGCATGAATCAAATTAGGAGGATCTTTCAGCACCACAATTGATAAAATTATTCTAACGCTATTATGAAAGGGGGTAATTTTGTGAGGATGTGAAACTTTTTTATCTTTACATCCTCATAAATTTGAGACAAAAAGTAATTTTTTTGGATAAATACTCGCTAAATGCATGGGTAAAATTGTACTTGGACGTGGCCTAGCGTGCCCATATTGTCACGCTCCGATCCCGACATACGTCCAGAATAGACACGTGACGTCACCAAATACCGATATCTCTAATATACCCCGCCTTTGGAATATGGCAAATCACAACTCGAGAATCGAATCACATCGTAATTTTGCTTATACTTTGTGGCTGCATCTAACCTCCTTGTTAGACTGCCTACGTACCCTCATTAGGGATCAAGCCATTTGTAGTTCGTTATTCTACTTCAATCGAACAATCAACACATAGACCACTATGTCTCAACATAATACCACAATTCAATCATGTAGCACCTCAAGGAACATTTAACAAAGCCCAATAATAATTTTTTTAGTCATCTCATCATTCATCCACCCATAAGCGTTCCAACACCATCCAATTATCACATAAATCAATAATCAATAGAACTTGACAAGCATAAAATTCCTAGACTCAAGGTAACATAACAAACCCACATGTAAAAAAATCATGATTTCCTTTCCATCCTTCATATAAATCATTAGGACTCAACATGATATCTCAATTCACAACATACATCATATTTAAGAACCGACAACGCACGAAATCATTCTCTAGCCACATTAATTACCTAATATGGTCAACATAATAACAATCATTCCCATATTTTATAAATTCATAAACTATGAAACCATAATTGAATCGTAGAAAATCTCAAAGGAATCCCACGGACGTACAACTGCTTTTATAATTCAATTCACAATATTCTCAAAACCATTATTCACAATATACTAAAACGAAGGCTAGACTGACACGGTTAAGCCAAACCTACTCCTCCGAAGAATGGGATTTCGGACCACTCAACGATATCCAACCCAAGATACGATTCCGGACCATCACTCAACGGAATCGTGGAGTATAAGGGATTCCGGACCATCACTCAACGGAATCCGAGTGGATACGATTTCGGACCATTACTCAACGAAATCGTAGAGTAGAAGGGATTCTGGATCATCACTTAACGGAATCCGAGTGGATACGATTCCGAACCATCACTCAAGGGAATCGCGGAACGCCAACACCATAATGTACGACGGCTCAAAGAAATGAGACAAGCACATGCTACTTAATTTACCAAAGCTCAACAAAGGGAAATTAGGCACAATTACTAAATTTAGAACTAATAAACGAAGTGGAAATGAAACAATATCGAAGCAACAAAATCCCATCACAATGGTTAACGGTCCACTTCTAGCCTTACATTTCATCACAACATACCAATCATACAAATAAACCCATATTTCAATTATACACGTCAAATCTCACTTCTTGAACATAAATTGATGGCTAAGTATTAAAAATAACAATTCAATCAAAAGAAACATTTATAAAACCAAGACATATATCCTCACAGGATAATAATTATGAAAACATGGGTAATCACCAATATAACATATATTAAAGTCACTCACATTTCTTCACACCACACTAATCCCTATGAATTACAACGTAGTCTCCCACACCATCAACTTCTCATGGCCACCAACTAATATATCACACAAACATATAAGTTCTTCAGAATATTTCAAATAGGATTCTAAGATCACATAGCCATAAATTTATCATACTTATCATTCACATTACTAGAAATAATTAAACATCCATATATCATCATTATCATCAATACACAAGCCAAATCATGTTTAATAAACATAAGTCTATGGCTAAATATATGAAAAATCACATTTCAATAGAAATCATATTTATAAGTGCAATGCACATTTACAAATGATATTAATATAAGAAATTAAGGTAATAACCGTATCACAATATTCAAGTCACTCTCCAACCAATGTAGGTCCACTAGACTTCACGTAAGTCTCCCGTAGTACTAAATTTTGTATTGGGAACGTTTCGAGACATGTTGACCAAAAGTCAACTCTCGGTTAAAGGTAGGGTCCACAATTCTATACAATTCAGTCCGGAAGATCCACACATTGGATTTTGGATCCGTAATTTCCCAAAGTTCACATTATGCTTCTAGAACAACATACTAAATTTTCATCGCGATCTGACGGTCAGATCTCCACCAATTACTAGAATTAAGTGGCGGTCAACAATTTATTTTACCAACTTAGAAATCCAATTAGGGAAGATCCGTACATTGGATTCTCGATCCGTAAGTTTCTATGATGCAAAAATATTATGTTCTATCACGCATTAAGGTTTGGTGACGATCCAACGGTCGGATCGTTGATTCATATTTTGACCAAGTAAGGTATTGTAATGAAACTAAGTCCAAACAATCAAATTACGTCGTACGGATATCAATTATGAAACCAAGACATTTATTTGAACTTAAAAGAATATCATCAGCCCACTGGCTAGGTCACCACCGCATGCGCCGCCGCGGGTGGCGGTCGACCGTCCCGACTTACCGAAAAAATTCAACTATTTTTAAAAATTATAAAAAATTACAAAAATTAAGATCTCTAAGAGTAGAGCAAAATTTATACCTGTGGCCAAGTCCAATTTGGCTGGAAAAAGCTCCAATTTCACTCAAATCCACCGGAAACCCTAGAAATGGGTGTGTCTTGATTCGTCCTCAAATCGACTCCGACACTCTAACCATGACTGGTCATTGTTCCTGAGCTCCATATAAGTACATTAGTGGTAGAAATCGAAATAAATCATTGCAAAAATGGCGGATTCACCGCCGTGGTGTCCCCGGAACCCACAGTTCCATTCTTCGTGATAAAAGCCCAAAACCCAGTCGATCTTTAGTGTAAAATGAAGAGGAAGGTCCGGGATGATGAATGGTGGTGATAAATGGACGCAATTCGCCAGAAAAGGGCCAAAATCGCGTCGGAAAATGAAAAGGGACCTGGACTGAAGTCGGGTAAGGAATCGGGTCGAAAATGGGATCCGGGTTGGGTGCCTTTCTTTCCCCTCCTTTCCTATCCTTTCCTCCCTCTCTGATTCGTCACTTCCTTCCTCTCTCCTTTTCTGATTCGTCCCCCTCTTCCCTCATTTCTCTCCCGCACCTCCTTTCATTTTCTTCTTCCTCCTCCCTCCAGCCACTCCCCGTGGCTCTTTCTTTAATTTTTTTTTCTTTCTCCTTAATTAATTTAAAGGCAACTTTTTAATTGTAGCTTTTTCACCTTGATATCTTTTGAATACACAATCTCAACACTCTACCATTAGTATAAATTCCAAAAAAAAAAAATATAATAATTCCTTAATACACATACGTAGTTTGCAATAGTGAAAACCAGGAACGAGATTTCGCACATATCACCTCACGTGATAGACTCACGTAAAACAATCTGATAAGCCACCCCACTTGGTAGAGTTGGGGGCCAAGTAAAGGGCCTAAATGGACTCATGTCTCTTGTATTTATCCATTGTTGGCTAAATGAGCAGAATAACGTGGCGTTAAAACCAACCATTTAGAAAGCTCCATATGTGCCCTAATGAGTCACCTTCAAATTCATGCCTAAATCTATTTAAAGGCATGCATACACACAAGAAAATTAGTGCTTGAGAATCATTCTCCTACAATTAAATCTAACTTAAGTATCATATAGCATTTGGCTCACACACACGGGTATGGATGTTATAAGGCCTCACTTATCTTTTCTTTCTTGGTTGCAAAGACATTAAAGTAGTTTTATGCTTGTGTAGAATTTGTTCTCTACAATAGCGACCACGAAATAAATTTTAAACTTTGGATATCCAATGGGGTGATGGAGCTTTGTTTATGCGTATATGAGTGGGTTCAAAAAAATATAAACTAAACAGTTTATAAGGCCTTTTATAGTAGGTCGGAAAAGTGAGTCTGACACCAATATATTAGATTTATATAGGAATCACTCCTATAGTGGGTAGGAAAGTTTGAGTGTGATATCAATATATTGAATTGATTAATTTAATACGAACTCAGTCTAGGGGGTAAATTGTAATTTTAGCCCCTAAACTATCACCCAATTGGATACTCTTTTGTTCTCTCTCCCAGTCTTCGTCACACCTATCCCTCACTCATTGGTTTTGGCCAGCAACTTGGAGCCGTTGCCGGCGAGTGGCGGTGGAGTGGTGGGCTGGGTAGACGGGTTGAGGATATCAATAGGCGTTTTAAGAAAAAATGTACAATTTGCAATTTAACATATTAATAAGCATTTCCCAATAGCAATAGGAAAAAAACATTTGTTATATAAACAATTAGCATGTTGCATGCAGTTGTGATGTTAAAACATGTTTGTGCAACAAAAGGGTGTCCCGTACAAGGTATAACATAATACAAGTTGAATAACTTTGAATTCATTAAACGTGAGCAAAACTTTCATACTAGAATATGTGATATCATGCTTCAAATGAGTGGACTTCATTAGATCATTGTTCAACTCTTGATAACAAGATTAGTCCACCCTTGTACATATATGTGTGTGATGGTATAAAATGACAAAGGTCCTTCAAGTTAATGAACGAAAGAAAGTGATGAATGATGATATTCTAGTGTGGTTGAGTCCATATTAAGTGCATGGATTCTAACAAACAACCAATTAAAATATGAAATTTAATATGGACATTTAATTAAATGTTTATTAATATTTGCGGTGAGGTTCGGTTTCGGTGCGGTTTTCAAAAGCCAAAACCAAAACCAAACCGTTTTCTATGTTGCGGTTCGGTTTCAAAACCAAAATCGTTCCAAAACTGCAAAACCAAACCGTTCGGTGCGGTTCGATTTGGTTCGTGTTTTGATTTCGGTTTTCGGTTCTAAGTGCCCACCCACCCCTACGGCCAGTTTTTCTGTGGGTGAACTTAAAACTAAAGGGTAAATTTGGAAGTTTAGATGAATAAAAATTTAGTTGGGTGTACTTATTTAAAAGTTGGGTGCCAATACCAAAGTTAAACGACAAAGTGTATTTCCCAACGCTTTGCGGGTTTACATTTGGAGTTGCAGAGTTGCCTTCATAACGGTGAGCGTGATTCAGTTGAGGTGGTTGTTTCTTCTCGTTTGCCAATATGCAGGTAACTAACTACATATAAACTTTAATTTCTCATCTCAATTGCGATATTATGGTCCAGTTCTTGCCTAAGTAGTTGGTTAAAACCCTAATTTTCTGCTAGTTTCCTGATAGAGAAGAGAAAGAAAATCAGCATAAAACCCTAATTTCATCACATAGAACTCTAATTTTCAGTATTAAGTATCTCCAAGAGCCTATTCATTTTTTTTGTTAAATTGGCTGCTCTGTTGAAAAACTATTTTAGCTATCCAGTTTAACTTAACTCTCCAACTCTCCAATCTTAAACCCCTAGTTTTGCAAGTGGTGGGTTGTCATGTGGTTAGGTTAGGGCATTCCTCTTTTAACCCGCTGCGTCCTGTGCTCGAACACTCCCCCTCCCCCTTAGCGGAGTTTGTGCTTGTGCTAAAAAAAAACCAAGGGGTTGTTTGATACCCTTCTTGGACTTGTTTTTGAAACTGATGAATTTTAAGTAATTTAGCTACATTCGTCATTTTTTAAAACAAAAAATGGGATCCAAGAAGGATACCAAACAAGCCCTAATATTTTGTTACTTTTCAAGAGAGAGAGTTGAAAGGTTTGAGAGTTTTAAAAGTTTTTTGATGTTTAGCTAAAATTCTTTCTATTTCTCTTATGGAGTGAGAAACGTGACACAGAACTCAGCACAATAGCGTTCTAGGATTCATATAGCCGACCCCACTTAGTGGAAAAAGGCTTTGTTATTGTTGTTCTGTTATGGAGTGACTATTCACTATGTTAGAGTGCCATTTAAAGAATCTCTTGAAGTAAGGTTTTGTTGGGTTTTTGCTATAGTTAGCTAATGTTGTTTTAAAAGAATCTCTTGGATATGCTCTAATACTTGAAAGTAGTAATGAGCATGCTAATTGTTTGTTTTTCTTGTATTGGGCTCAGGCCAGTGATAGGTTCAACATCAATTCCCAGCTTGAACATCTTCAAGCTAAATATGTTGGGACCGGGCATGCCGATATGAATAGATAGTGAGTATATCTTTCCTCTTTTAAAAAAATTCAATAATCTTTTGTATTTCTGATTGGGTTATATGTTAATTTTGAAATTCTTTTTCCTTTGGAATGTCTAGTGAATGGGCCGTGAATATCCAACGCGATAGCTACGCATCCTATGTTGGCCATTATCCAATGCTTGCTTACTTTGCTCTTGCTGAGAATGAGTCCATTGGAAGAGAACGCTACAACTTTATGCAGGTTCTCTCTTGCTTTGCCGCTTTTATGACTTTGAGGACATAAATTGGGTGTTTCTCTGTACTTATTTTTACCTACTGTTAGTCTGGTTATGTTTTATTGGATTGTTACTTCTTCCTAGTATTAATGTCCCATGTCTGCTTTGCCTCTGTAATCTGTATGCATGTGACATTGTCATTGTTGTGTACTTTCATGTATGTGCTTATCAAGTGAGGATTTTTATTCGAGGGTTGTCCTTCACTGATTTCATGGCAGAAGTGATTGCAACCTATTATTGAATCATGTGTTATCTGCGAGAGCATGATCTAGAACTCTTGAAGGAGTGGAGTGCTATTAGTTCTTTGGAATGAACATAGAAAATCAAATTATGTCAAAAATTGGTGCCGGATATGCCTTCTAAGGTTTGAGGACACTTCAACAGCCAAATGCTTGCCAAGAAAATTCAAAATCATGAGGCAAGGCCCCCAAAGTAAGGGTTTCACCTTTGATGGAATTTTCTTTTAGCAGCTTGTGGAGGCCTACCTAACTCTATGGCGAAGCAGCGAGGGTTGTCTGGAGGCGTTAAAAGCGGCCTCGGAGCGCAGTGTTAAGGTTTTAGCTGTTGAACGCGCAACCAGAGATGAGAGCTATAGGAGCAAGACTGTTTGGACTGGACGCAGTTTAAGGTGAAGGTTCAATTGATCTTGCCTTGTAGGTAGGCAGCGCCTCGAGAAAGACCATAAACATAAAAAAGAGGAACTCGATAGGAGATTCTCAAGACTATCGAACTGAACTAGAGACCAATAACTCTAAAAGTTAAAGTTTCACTTGACCTGAAGCTGCCTTTGATGTATGCCTGAGTTAATGAATTGGACCTTGTTAGTTTGTTTGTGTTAACAAGAAGCCAAGTTGATCCCACTCAACTATTTGGTTTATGTGGCACATGCGCGTGCATGTTTTGTTGTAAATTTTCGAGCCGTTATACTTTGTCTTTATGATTTTTGAATTGATTTTTTTTCTTTGTTGTGCAGAAAATGCTTTTGCCATGTGGTCCTCCTCCGGAAAGAGAAGACGATTGATTCTATATTGTCATAAGAACTTGCCGCTTTATAATGTTTGTCGAGAAAGACTTATATGGAACGGGTGCACTGCCACTGTGTTGCCCCATTCCAATGAAACAATGGCATGCGTAAGGTTTTCAACACGACAATGTTTTATTGGATCGGGATCCCACGTGACAGCAAACCTGTTCTATCCCGTTTGTTGAAAAAAGAGATCATATATGACTGATTGTATGTACTTGATCTTTTCAATTCATGAATCTAATGCCTACTTGTGGCCCTTATACTTATCCGTATTCGTTCATGTTAATTTTTTGTCACTGCCACAATTCATTCATCTAATTCACTAAAGCTGTTTATGAAGCCAACAAAAAGGTTCGGGTTGGAGGGATCTATGGGTGAAAATATAATTATTTGGGGAAAGAAAACCCCGAGTACTAGTTACTTTTGTACGCCAATCAGGCATTGGATTAGAAAGAAAACAAAAATTTGGATCAGACAATGTTTATTCGAACAAATTGGGTTTGAACCGATGTGAACAAATAGAAAAATTCAAGTTAAAGGAACATGCCGGTTCTAGGCGTTCGGATGATCCGGGAGGCGTTTCAGGTCCATTTCAACTTGGTGGATCGTCCAATTCATGTTTTCCAGTTTCTGTATGGCAATGTTGTTCTCAGAGATTTCATCAGAGGAACCAGATAAATGTACAACTCAGAGCGTTGCTATTTTTTACCTTTACAATATCACGGTACCGCCTTGCAATTTGATCGAAGTGAGGATCGACACCCTGATACTCATGAAGGCGCGTAACCTGGTAAAAAAACGATGAAACATCAGTTCATGATCAAGAACCACGTCGGAGGATGATACGAAAGAGAAACAGATGAGAATTAGAAGAACAGACCGCTTTATTATATGTAACCGAAGCTTCTTCCGTAGCATCAGTAAGATACTTCCTGTAATGAACAAAATGATTCAAAGAAACTTGAACTAGTAAGCTGCACATACTTTCTACAATGTAATCGATAAGTACCTAATTTTATGCAGGGCTGGTACAGATTCCTTAGTATACGTTTGACCAACGATAGCATACTCCAGTTTCCTGAAATATGATCGGGTATATTATACTCATCATGTAGATCGACTAATATATCCAGTCAGCAGTCACTACTTTAGTTTCTCTGTTTGAAAACCATATACAGAAAACCACGAACCTCAGTTTTGCGCTCATGGTCACACACCTTTTGCACAGCCATGTTTTTTGTAGTTCATCCTATAAAGCGTTGTTTACAATAAACGTTGCAGAATGCTCAATAACAAGAAAAGCAGAATCGTACGTAAAGGATGCTTACAAAAATGTTAGTGCGTATCCGGAAATCTAATTGCTGAAATCACATTAACCATCACAAACGTTAGAAGCTTACATAATTGTGTTGATGGTGCAATTTCAAATCTTTGATCAACTTGACGAGAACTCCCAGTATCTGCTCTAAGACCTAGTGCGCGCAAAAACACTTTGTCACAAAACCTCACAGACAAAATTAGCCAGTATAGATTTTGGGAACGAAAACATATATATTTTATTTTCATACGTTATAGTATTCAGAAAATTTTCTATCTGCGGAATATAGATCTTCCTGCAAAGCTTCTTCCTCCCTTTCTATCTCCTCAGTTATCAACTTTACCCTGATACAATCATGAGAAGTTGAATTAACATTCGATCACAGCGTCACATAATCATTTAGAACAGTAGTTCTAGAAATTTATATAAGCACCAAAAAGCAGTGGTTTATGGGTGCACTACACTTGAGAGCGGTGCAGAAAATAATTGAAAATTCTAATCACTTGCAATAATTAGAGTTAGTGGTGTCAAAAATGAGGCTGTCAATGATCTTAAGAAATGGAAAATCCTTCATGTTTGATGACAGCTAGTCACTGTTATATACTAGATTACATGTCATATCTACTAGATTACATGTCAAATAAAACTGCCAAACATCGGTAGAAAGAATCTTGCTCCATGTGAAAGGGGATTGTATCAAGATAAAACTTGCTTAAGGAGAGTAATCCAAACCTTTCTGGAAGCTGAGAACTTGTAGTTTCATGCAGGGGTGATGAATCTGCAGCAACCAAGCAGTGGTATGAATTCTGTGTATAACCATTGTGTACTATATATGAATTGCATAATGGTTATAGCATTTGTCTTAATTACGGGCTAAGTATATCAGTATGCATTATCCACTTCGACAAAAAATGTTCAGGGCTCGTTTACTGACTAGGATTGGATTGGAGTGGACAACTCATAAAAATTCACGGTATGTTGGAGGTAGAGGTGAATGGTTTTTCATTTTGAGGGGATTAGACATAAAGGGAACTTATCCCTTCCAATCCCAACAAAATGGTAAAATTAGAGTGGATAAGTTTCCTTCATGTCTATTCCCGCTTCTAATGCCCTCCAAAATAAAAGAAATCATTTACCTCCACCTTCAATGTACCATGAATTTTATGAGTTATCCACTCCAATGCAATCCTAGTTACCAAATGAGCCTTAGTGTATTATATAGCTTGATCAGCCCATGGACCCCTATCATATGATCAAAGATTGCATTGGTAAGATTCAATGTGGGTATCCTTTCCCATAATGAATAAGGTGGAAATGAAAATGACTTGGAACTTGGAACAACATATTGACAAAATTACATTTGAGAGAGAGAGAGAGGGAGAGAGAGAGACCAATGTCATCAATTACTAATGCATCAGCTAACTTGTCACATTTTTCTTCCAACCGAGCCTCAATCTCATGGGAAAGACACAACTGGTATTCTTTCATATCCTGCAGTTGGGACATCACAGATGTACCTCAATGATTCCATTAATAAGGGGCAGGTCTACCAAGGTTATTTCTTCATATTAACGAATTATATATATCAAAATTAACAGATTCAACAAGAAAAGATGTTCAGATGCAGCCATAGAAAGAAAAGCGTAGATATAAATGAATAATGAAAATAGAACGACAACTGTTTGCATGCTAGAACCATAGTGACATCATACCAAACAAAAGGGAGATTGCTGGAGCTGTGTTTGCCATAAATAAGCAGGTGTAATTCCAAGAAAGCGATTGGGTACACCACCAAGTCCAGGTTCCACAATATCAGTAGCACTACAAGAAAGACTGTTGCTTGCTGTATAATTTGTGGAGTTGGAACTTGAGCTGATTGTAACACCGGTACAAGTACTGTCAAGGGAACTCCGTGACATTATACTGCATTTTTCAATCTCTTCCTCATGAACTTCACCATCTTTGGAGACAAGAGGAAGCCTAGACCTTTGGGCTGCTTCTGCAACAATCATACGATGCTCTAATGTCTCGTACAGCTGATACATCATGAAGATCCTACACTCATCAGTTTCAGACTACTTAAATGGCTCATGTGCAGAACAAAATACCAAGGGCACACTACATTTGAGCATCATCGTTGTATGTATCTGTTCAGATAATCCATAAATAAAAGAACGAACACCTTCCACAGAATACTAATTCTTAACCGGTAACATTTCATAGTTACTTAAGTATTGTTTAACATTCCCATATAATATTAACGACGCTTTTATATTCTACCAGTTTCTTCTTCAAATGTAACAAGTAGAAGAGAAACATAAAACTCCTAATTCCGATGCAAGGTGTCAAATTGGCAACCGTATTATCCACCCTTTGATTCTACACACCAAACATTGTAGTGTGGAGTCCCCAGCAAGTTAACCGAACGCTTAAGATATCGATGCTTCGGTTTGAGGGCCTCTCATATTTGAAAACCAATAAACTTAACATATAAAGATATTTCAAAGTGTGAAATAAAGAACCTCAGCCTCAGAAGAATGCTTCAATCCCTGTTGATACTCCTCCACCATTGCAATTGCCTCGCCATAAATTGCCTACATCAGAGCTCTTAAATTTAAATTCACTGTCAAATAAAAATAACCAGTTGAATTTCGACAATTCGAAAAGAAAACAAACCCCGAAATAAGCAGAATTCAATTACCATGGCTTCCAAGTAACGGATTCTTTCCCCGCACATTGCCTCCCTGGCCTGCAAAATTCGACATTTTCTCAGAATCCAAAAAGGGCAGGGAAATGCAGAGAGAGAGAGAGAGAGTACGAGTTGGAGGTCGTAATATGCGGATTTGGAGCCGAGGGAACCATCGGGAGCCAAGCAGTGGCGTTCCAGCTGATCGACAACATGGGCCACATCCGGTGGCAGGTTTTGTCCCTGTAGTTGTTGCAGGCCCTTCGCCATTTCTGCTCTCTCGATCACCAAAACGCCGTCGTCTTCCTCCTTCTTCCTTCTTCCTTCTTCCTTCCTAACGATAAAGATGCCGCATTGCCACTCTCACGCGGGAATTTACCACCAAAATTGATGACGGATTCAGCTTGGTTTACCGTACCCTTGTTCGGTTTGGTTTTGACCAAGAAAAAGTCAAAGATTTTAAAAGCCAACTAAACTTATTTTATGTTGGTTTACCGTACCCTTGTTCGGATCAGAACACGCATATCTTAAAGCATTTCTACGAGCGGCTCTATATAGAGTTGCAAAATAATGGATATAGTCTATTCTAGAGCTTTGAAAAGATTTTAGGGCTTTATAAAAAAAATCTCTCACAATGAAGGATTATTTCTTTCCGACCATATGTGAGCTATATATATATTTATTTATGTAGTAATTTGATCATATGATAATTTTTTTTGTATTAACTTTTCTTAAGTTGATTTTTGAACGTGATATCTTAAATATTTTGTTATGAACCTTTGAATCTAAAAAAGTTCAAGTTGTGACAAAGTTAGATTTCATCACATATGAACCACTGTTGAATTAGATTCTCTTATTCGAATCTTATCCGTTGAAAAAAAAACAAAATTTCACTTCGCCCTCTAAAATAATTTCATTTTCATGTACAACACAACAATTTACGTAGAACCAATTGGTAAATTAGTAAATTTATTTGAAATTTTCACCCACCAATGCTCATGAACGTAAAATCAATTTGAAATTTTAATTCTTTTGTAATTTAAAACAATCATTAATTAGCCAAATTGTAAGAAAAATATGTAATAAAAAAGAATTAAAAAAAAGAATAAAAGGAGATTATAAGATTATTTGTAAGTGGAGAGAATGATAAAATTTTGCTCATATGGGTTGTTACTTTTTTTGTGGGATCCACTATTTTTTTTGGGCTAGATGTAGCCCAATTTTATATTACTCAAGAAAGGAAGTTGCTAGCCCCAGCCAGTGGTGGATCTAACCCCATTTTTTGGCTCAATAGAGATGAAATTTCTCACTAAGGCTTGAAATGTGGTAGTCTCATTCATAGAGGATAAAGCCACTATTGGGGATGCTTTTAGAAGTCTAGTCATGGACTCATTAGCTTCCACTACATAGCTGAATAAATAAAGTAACGATGCCACCATCATCCTGTTCTGGAATCAATGGTCGAAGATTGACCATGCTTGTTTCGCAAGATACGGAAATCTAATCCAATAAGGAATCATCATGTTTCCTATAATCTTGGAGTCATTACTATCAAAGGATTGACGTGCATTGCAAGTAATCATACTCTTAGGAGGAAGCAATATCTACTTCCTAGATATTCTCTAGAATTCTTCCGGTTTAATAAGGATTCTACTATCTTAAAATATCTCTACTCGACTGAAGTAAATACATCTTTCTAGCTTCATCTCTGATAACATAATTCTTGTATACTTATTCTCTTGCATATTGCTTGAATCTTATATTGTTTACTAACTTGACGATCATATAGTCTTTGACCGGCACACTCCCAGTCTTAGGCTTACTCACGATTGTTTGGTGTTTTTACAAGTACTTGGATTTGTGCATCCCCACCTCTTGCGGTGGTGCGCAAATTTGATACCAACGACACATATTAATATATTATAGGTGATTTGAATGTCTAACTATATGGGCCTTATTAAAAGTTAATGCTATTCCATGTCCAAATCCGAAGCCCATATAGTTTCTCTCTCAACTCTCTCTCAACTTCGTCTTCTCAAACTTCTTCGTCTGCTTCCGTGCATTACTCCAGACGAGGATCTCACAGATCAGGTCCCTCTGCCTCTCCGTTCAGTCCGTACAGGTATGCCCCTCTCTCACCCCATTACATATATACATATACATATACATATATCCATATACATATACATATATATATATATATATATATACACTTATGTCTATATGTTGTTTCAAATCGGAATTTTGGTGTATCGGACGAGAATTTTGATTTTTATAAGGTGTTCGATATGCGACAAATCAGTGGTTATTCAATTTTTGGGTGATTTTAATCTGAGATTCGGTCTGATTCGTTACTGATTACTGATTTTAAGTGAAAATTGAATTCGATGATGTGATCAGTTGTTAATGTGATTAAGCAAGTAGTATCCATGTAATATGCTTAAGTAGATCTAGTTCAGCTAATTATCCAAGTAATTTGTACTTTCATTCTCCAATTCCGTAGATTACGATGAGATGTCGAAAATTCCGTGTTTAAATCTGCTTGTGGTAGGACTTGATTATGTTCATGTATGATTAACTTGTAATTGTAATTTAGTGGGAATATTAGTGTGGCATTGATGACAGTTGATGATTGTTCATTTTTCATGACATTAAGGGTTACTCAATTGCCATTACAAATATCGGTGAACTTGAAACTTAAAATGAAGAAAAGGGTGCAGGTGGGTTTTACTTAAAAAATCATTTGGATATTTGGAAATCGAATTTCATTTCACGCTAATCAAAATGAAGTGGAGCTAAGGCCGACCGAACCGTTTTCACTAACTCTTGCTGAATGTTCTGTTTTCAGTTGATTTGTTTAGTGGATCGTTCAGTAGAATTGAAGTTGTTGCTTCTATATGCATCTATTCTCATGTTTAGCTGCAGTCTATGATGCATGGACACGGTGGTATCCTTCGATCCCTGTGTCGTGTTGTATTCCCTTATGGTCATACAACAATTCTTCTTGTTAATTTGACGTATCCCCATCTTCATGTCCATGCATCGTAGGCTGCAGTTAGGGATATGGTTTTTCTAATGGAAGTTTCTTTTTCGGATGCTCATAGGATAGATTAGTTTCGTTCACAATGCCTTCAGCCCAAGATCCGTTCTATGTTGTGAAAGAGGAGATTCAAGAATCTGTAAGTTGTCAAATCACTTCAATCATTTGGAAGCTTCTGGAATGGTGTATAGTTTATATATTACGTTTGATACATGTTATCAGTTCAATGTGCCCCTTTAGTTGGCTCTTATACTTTCTTTGGAGTATTACCTTTCTGCTTTTGACTCACTCTCTCTTTTGCTCACACACGCACACACACAAACCCGGATGAATTTGGTACTCATTATATGCGGAATTTGTTTTCATGGCATTATGCTTGGGAGTAGAAATTAATCCAGCCTATGACATTTCCTGCTTGAATAGATTGAAAAGTTACAGTCTTCTTTTCACCAATGGGAGCGTCTTTCATCTGATAATGGAGAGCAAGTACGTCTCACAAAGGAGCTGCTTGCTTCTTGTGGAAGCATTGAATGGCAGGTGCGCCAATATTACCACATTTGATTTAATTTTATCTGTGTGTCTTTATTAAAGATTAGATTGTAGGTGTTTGTCATGGTATAATTATTAGAAAGTTGTGACGCAGGAGTTGGGATTGTGACCACATGAATGTCTGAATGAACCAATAGAAATAGCTGGTAACACAAAAGTTTTGGTGGTATTTGTTGAATTTCCATAAACATGTCAATAACAACTGAAATGTTGCAACTGAGTTTCAGTGTACTAAAAATTTCTTCTCAATGTGTGTGGCCTGTTGTTAGCCGACCCCACTTAGTGGGAAAAGGCTTTGTTGTTGTTGTTGTTTGTGTGTGGCCTGTTGTAGATTGGTGATGACAATAGTTTCTCTTTTTTTTTTTTTTTTGTAACGGCCATAGGTCATGGTTTTGATTTACATACTCGCTAAAAAACTGGTTATCTTGAGCTATAGAAGATTGGAAGTTGATGTGGGTGTGGGTGTCAAAAGGATCATTTGCTCTTTAATGGGCTGGTGCTCTTGAAACTATGATCAGTTAAACAAAAGAAAGGATGCTTTACTTCTTTGAAATAGGCTGGCTTACGACCATCTAATATGGGTTTGTCAGCAAGATAGCTTCTCAAAATAATTAAAGAAATGATGTAGTTTTCAATTTCCATATCTCAAATGAAAATATCTGTTATTGTAGAAAATTGCCCTTGACCACCTCAGACCTGAACAGCATTGGGATTTTATGGTATTGAGCCCAAGAATTGATCATGTTTTACTTTGTTAACAAGGTTGCAAATACTCATTTAAAAAGAAAAAACGGAAAAGATAGAAGATGAGGATATATTAGCAGCTAATGGTTATTTTACTGTATCGATCGATTAATCAAATATGTTAGAGTAAATTGTAGCTATGGTCCCTTAACTTTAACTCAATTGGAGCAATAGTCCCTCAGCTAAAAATCCATTACCATTGGTTCCTCAACTTTAATTCAACTGGAGAAATGGTCCCTTAACTTTAACCCAATTGTAGCAATGGTCCTTCCAACATAACTCGTTTTGACAAAGTTTTTGATGTAGTTGACGAAAAGGACCATAATTACACACTTTGATGAGTTGAGGGACCCTAATTATATAAATGGTTATTCCAACATAACTTATTTTGACAAAATTTTGACGAAATTGATGAAAAGGACTATAGCTACACATTTTGATAAGTTGAGGGACCAATGGTAATGGATTTTTAGTTGAGGGACCATTGCTCCAATTTGATTAAAGTTGAGGGACTATTGCTACAATTTACTCAATATGTTAAAATAAAAATCATTTCCATGGTTGGTGCACAAAGGGACGAAACATCCAATGCATGCTTTATGTTTGTATGTGCTAAATATTGAGGACTAAATGACTTAAGATAGTTTATACATTGTAGTAGAAGCATTAGGTTCATACTGGTTAGTTGTGCGTGCTAAGTTAACCTTACATGTTCTTCTCAAAAAAAGTTAACCTTACATGTCATATACTCGATGCATCAAAGATTGATTTAGCAAATCTCCAAGTTTCCTTTAAATTTTCATGTTTTTAAGAAAAAAGTTTTATTCTGTCAATTTTTATTGGTCTCTATGCATTCATTAAAAACTCTGTAAACCAATAATAGTTTTGCAGACCAATATTTTATCCTCGTCAGAGAGAACGTGACTTGGGGTGTACAGTTAAATAATTTTCTTGTTTTTGTATTTTCATTCCTTTCTTTTATCACATAACCTGAAACTTTGAGAATAATTTGAAATTCAACTTCTGTTTGCAACTACTAAAAGGATGTTTTCTTGATAGGAAGGTAGATGAGTTGGACAAAGCGATTTCCGTAGCAGCTAGAGATCCTACATGGTATGGCATTGATGAAGTAGAACTTGAAAAACGAAGGAGATGGACAAGCAC